TCATGCTTTGTTTTGTTTATTTATATTTTGTTCTGGTTTACTCAGATTAATTAGCACTTTTTTTTTTTTTTTTTTTTTTTTCTGTGTGCTGTTTTCGGAGGCCCCTGTTTATGGAGATTTTGGGGTATGTTCTTTGGCTGGCTGCTCTAATTATATCATTTGGTTACTTGTGTTGTTGAAATTCAGAGCATTGTCTATTGCTGAAATGGTTACTGCTGCCCACACAACTGCAATGAAAGATGAACCCATTAAAAAGATTTTACTGAGTTACAGTAACAAAGGAAACAGCCTATGCAATCCACTGAATTGATTTTCTACCAGCAAACAGAGGAAGACACACTGAGTCTGATATGCTGCTTGCCAGGCAAATCAATACCCTGTCTTCTTTCTTGCTATTCACCATGATTCAAAATGTTTTTCAGACGTAAATTGTTTCAGATATATTGGCACTTGCCCCTTCTGCCAGGATAAAAGACCAAACCTATGCCACAAAACACTGTATTAGCAGATAGGGACACCCTGAGTCTAAAGCATGGCAGGAATGCAAGCACCACACAGCTCTAACCTCCTTGGATTACTTACTATGACATTTTCCAAATGTGAAAACCGGTTATGGCATACACCAATATTCAGATTGTACTTCATGTGGAAATATTAAACTCTAAATTTCAGCATTTTTGCAGGCTATGGGAGGCTACAGTAATACCACCTTATAAACTGGCACATCTAAGACCTTCTGAAGCAAATACGATTTTGCATTCTGTTTTCCAGATGCGCATGGCACCCATAATTGTATGTGGCCCCACCCTGTCAAGTTTCTTAAATCGTGGAAGAAGGTGGGTAGGTAGTGATCATTAAAACAGAAATAGGCTCCTACAATTGTTTGATGATTGTACATCAATAGGGCCCATCAATTGGGACTACAGTTGGCTGGCGACCAACCACCAGCGGTGTTCCTCAGGGCTCAATTCTAGGGCCAGTTCTGTTCAATATACTTATCAATGATCTAGATGCAGGAATTCAAAGAACCATTAGCAAATTTGCTGATGATACCAAACTAGGAGGTGCTGTTGACTCTCTCGAGGGACAAGAGGCCTTGCAGAGGGATTTAGATAGATTGGAGCACTGGGAAATCATCGATGGCAGGAAATTTAACTTGAATGAATCCAGAGGAGGACAACAAAGCTGGTGAAAGGGCTAGAAGTAATGTCCGATGAGGAGTGGCTAAGGACTCTGGGGTTGTCTAGTTTGGAGAAAAGGAGGCTGAGCAGTGGCCTCACTGCTCTCAACAGCTTCCTGAGGAAACAAGGTGCTGATCTCTTCTCCTTGGCATCCAGGGACAGGACACCCAGGAATAGCTCCAAGTTGCATCAGGGGAGGTTCAGACTAGATGTGAGGAAGCATTTCTTTACTGAGAGGGTGGTCAAATACTGGAACAGGCTTCCTAGAGAGGTGATCAGTGCCCTAAACCTGTCAGTGTTTAAGAGGCATTTGGACAATGCCCTTAATGTACTTTAACTTTTGGTCAGCCCTGAAGTGGTCAGGCAGTTGAACTAGATAGTTGTAGACCCTTCCAACTCACCTCACCTCACCTCACCTCACCTCACCTCACCTCACCTCACCTCACCTCACCTCACCTCACCTCACCTCACCTCACCTATTCTATTCTATTCTATTCTATTCTATTCTATTCTATTCTATTCTATTCTATTCTATTCTATTCTATTCTATTCTATTCTATTCTATTCTATTCTATTCTATTCTATTCTATTCTATTCTATTCTATTCTATTCTATTCTATTCTGCCATCAAGGGAGAGAAAGTTCTTGCTCATACAAATATGAAAGTGCTTGACCTCCCCATGTCTTTGGTGTCATTCATCTAGCTAATGTTTCTCTGGTGTTCAAGAATCTTCCATGACCATGGCATGCAGGAAGGGAACTAACAGTTCTTTTGAGAGTCAGTAAATACATTAACCAATTATAAGGTGCAACAGCTCAGTTTGGAAAAATCAATGTTCAGATTTTAACCTGCATACAACATCCATTTAGCCCTGCCTCTGTCAATCCCTTTTTTTTTATTTTTTTTCTTTTAGGTTTGATGATGTATGTATTAACACAAGGGTTCCAGAAAGGACCCTAATGCAAGTTTGGTCCACGTCATTCTGATGCAAGGAAAGGAAGAATGGATTACAGAGCATAAAAATGTGGGATATGTGAGAGGCAAGTGGATATCAGGTAGATATCAAATCATCATTTGATGCTTATCTTTTTAGCAGCTGAGATCTTTTATTGTGAAAAGGCAGATTGCAAAACATGAAAGCAGAGAGCTGCAATACTGGAAATGCCTAAGTTTGGCTTACTGGGGGTTCCAGTAAAAAATTGAGTAGCTGGCAACTTGATGTAATAGCTGTGGTTCAGTTTAATGAAGTGTTTGTTACCAAATGTATTGTTCCATTGTAAACACTGGCTGATATAGTACCGATTATTACTATTATCAAGACTTCTATCAGAGCAGTATCTACAGGCTGACACAATAGTAATGTCATGAGTGTCATACAACCCATGTAACATGTAAGAGTTCCGTTTCTGAGTGGGTTATGTGGCTCATTCTTAAGTAATTAAAGCTTCAGTTGTCCAAGGGTTTGACATACATCCATGAAAGGGCTTAATAGCCTGGCTACCATTTTAGGTGCTCGAGGGCAGTTCTTAAAGTCTCAAGCTCCAGCTAAGCTATTGCCTATTTCCTGAAATTGCCAGGTTCTCAGGCTGTGTAATGCCTCTCACTAAAGTTCCCAAACACCAGTTTCTGAATCATGCACAGAAGTTGTGGTTTTTTGTGTTTTTTTTTTTTTTTTTTTTTTTTTTAATCTCACCTGTGGCAGTCTAATGGCACACACCTCTTTCACCCAGTCAGGAAGCTTATTAGGGGCAGCTGAGTGTCCAGGTGCTTAGTATACTAAAACCTTGGGGGAAGAAAGCTCTTCCTTGATGGTCTTACTGATCCAGTGGTAGCAGCAGCTTTACGTCAAAGATGACTGGAAAAGAAGGTAATTTTATATTTTACTCAGAAACCTGTGATTCACTGAAAAGGTAAAATACCATGGGGATCTGAACTTACTTCTCTTGTGTATTTGCTAGATTGTCCTGGCCATCTGAGTATCCTCAGAAAGCTGGAAAAAAAGGTGAAATAGGAAATCTTTCAGTGACGTTGAAGCTATGTAACTTTGTGCAGGATTTTAGGGTCAGAGAAAGCAGCTAGGAGGGTATGAACATAGGACAAGGGAGGCTGAATTCTTCCTCTTTCTCTTCTGAATAGTTGATGTTGAGTATTCAATGTGGGAGGGAAGTTAAAAGGAACAAGTTCTGCTGTAGTCCTGAAGGTGTGTGCTGGTGTACTGGAGATGCCTTATCTCAAATGTTATAAAAACATATTCGGTAAAAAGTACCAGATGTGAGCCTAAAGGATGGCAAAGCCCAGGAATAAGAATGAAAACATGCTTTCTGACTGCCTATTATGACAGGAGAGAAGCAAAGAAACAGATCAATGATAATGGCTACTAAACTTCTTTTTAAGGCACCTGATTGCATTGACTGTTGTTGGGAGCTGGGCTGAGAAATCCGCTTTAGTCTTTTCACACTTTCTTATAAAGGGGAAGAGCAATAAACACTACCTAAACAACTTAACAGCGATAACTATATGAGATTTCTCTTGGTTCTTTGGATTAACATTTCTAACTTGAAATATGGACTGCAGAATTTTTATCAAGTGAGGACTTCACTAGCCCAAGCAAACTCAAAAACAAATGAGCACTGAGGAAATAAACTGGAAGTAAAGGTGTGAGAAATGTTACAAATGTATAGGAATTAATTCAAATTAAATACTGCAAACTATCAAAAGATAGCCACTCAGACAAATTAATTTCATCTTTGATCATATGCTTCAAAATCGCTATCCTAATTGTGTGCTCCTCTAATGCTGATGTGGGCTTTAATGTGTGCTTTTTCTATGGAATAACGAAATCATTAACTCCGTTGAGGTTTTATAATATTTTCAAGAATTTGTGGTCTGGTTTTGAAAAGCGAAAATTCTGTCAATGCTGTGGCTGTTTAGGAAGATAGGAAAATCTGAACCAAGTGTTGTTTTACAATTAATATTAATTTCCTGGAGTCCCCAAGTCAATAGTTTACTTCAGAATTTTTAAAAACAAGAAGGAGGCAGGGGAAGAAAAAGCAGCTTCACAACCTCCCATGAGATCCTGGTACAACATTCTGTGTGTGCCATCCCAGGTTTATCCAAGGTAACAGACGCATCAAGTGCAGAGCTCTGAGGATTGTTACTGTAATGGGGGCTGTGGAAGCCGCCTCCTCCTCCTCCCTGCTCTGTTCTTGTTGTGAGTGCTGGAGAACTGGAAATACAGAAACATGGGTTTTCATCAGGTTCTAAATGTAACGCTGAGTTCTTAAGAGATTGACATGGGTGGGTGGTGTTTTGTTTTGGTTTCTGGCTTTTTTTTTTTTTTTTAAATTGGGTGTAAGAATGTGCGTAACTCATGTTTCTTCCAGAGGGGTTCACAGATTGTAAAGCTTAAACTAAGCTGCAGAGTGCTAATTTTCTGATTAAGAGAAGTTTGGATCAGGGCTGTACTTTAAGAGAAGTTTTGCCTCTCAGAGCTCAGTAAGGGCACAGAATGGGCTAGTTGAGATAAAAACATGAGTGGTCAGATACTCCTCACCTGTAGTTACTGCTACAGTGTGTGTAACTGAGCTCGCACTTTGGCTGCCAGAGCTGGAGCGGTGAAGGAGCAATTTGGGGGGGGAAGAGAAGGGATGAGACCCAAAGCAGCCAGAGCTTTTGCAGGAGCTCTGCCTTTCCTAAAATCTCTCTGCTGACCTCCCAAGGCTGGGAAGAGGAGGAGGGCGGGTGCCCGGGGCTGCGGGTTGGGCCAGGCCCGCCCCTATATGTGATGGCGGGAGGGAGGTAAGGGGGTGAGGAGGAGGATGGTGATGATGATGCTGGCCCCGCTGTGGGGGGCCGGGGAGGCGCGCGAAGAGCGGGATGGGGACCCCGCGGAGGGCCGGGAGCTGCGGAGCTTCACCTGGGAGGAGATCGGTCAGCGGAGCGGCCGGGGGCCGGGGCCGCAGGAGCGCTGGCTGGTGATCGAGAGGAAGGTGTACGACATCAGCCGGTTCTACCGGAGGCACCCGGGAGGGGCCCGGCTCATCAGCAGCCATGCCGGGCAGGACGCCACGGTGAGAGGCGGGGATGGGGATGGGGGGGGGACCGGTAACCCCGCAAGCATCGTGCAGCGAGAGCTTGGGACGTGGCTTTGGGGGGACTTGAGAGGGACGGAGCAGGGTCGGGATGTGGAGTGTTACTGCTCCCTGCAAGCTTCCAGCCCCCGGCGATGGAAACGGGGCTCAGCCCATGGGGCAACCAGGCTGTAACTGCTCATCCAGCTTAAGTCTTTAGGATTCCTCTTATCTTCTGATCTTGCTCTTGCAGCTGCTGTGACCTGCAGTGATTGCTCACAGCCAGGGGAAGGTGCCACAAATAGCGCATCAACCCTGTGGCAACGACAGCAGCTGCTTCCAGAAATGTCCCTTTAGGAAAGGCATCCCTCTGAAATGCCACCTGGCACAGCTCAGCAGGAAAACAGAGACAGTGCGCTTTCCCAAGCCATCTTCCAGAAAAGTTTCTGTAGTTATTGCACGTGGTCCTTTTGACCTTTGAAATGAACAAAATTGAAAGAATCGGCCAATTAATAAGTGTCCGACTGCTGGAGAGTTAGTGTGTGGGCAAAAAGACTTCTGCTCATCATGTTTCCTTGTCCAACTGCTCTTTTAACGTCATGGAAACTTGTGGTGAACACACACCGAAAACGTTCAGCAAATCTCCTGGGGTTCTTGCCTTCTGGTATATCCAGGAAGGGTAGAAAATAGTGGTAAATTAACATCTCTACAAAGATGTGACAAATGTGATTGCTTCCTTGCTGTGTGTATTGAAAAAAAAAAAAAAAAAAAAAAAAAGACGACAAATAGTTCCCTGATCTTCCATACATAAGGGATATTTGAGGCTCATGAAAATAAAATTAATTTTCAGTTCACTAAGTTTAAATTTCAAATTCTGTATTAGTTACACTTTGCATTCTGTATTTTCCATCATTCATTTGCTCTAGTTAGTTCTGTCAGATTTCTTTTGTTTTAGCATGATGGAATATCCCAGGCAATGGATGAACTTTGAAAATGCAGCTGTTTTGTTTCTGGAATCTGAGCTGGTTCTTATAGGTTGGTTCCATGCCCAAATCATGAAGCCCTGCAAGACTTCAGCCAGTTTTGCGTGACACCAGCTCAACTGTCTTCACACTTGAGTGTGAAGCACATTAAATAGGCTGTGCACCATAATGGAAAAATGTCAGGTGATTTTCCCCTCTCTCTTTTTAAGCACATATGATAAAACTCCAGCCCGAGGGCTGTAAGTGAAATTAATAGGAAGGGGTTATATTTTGCTCCAGAGATGCTGAAGAACACATAGATCTTCATCAGCTTGGCACTTTTGGATAACAACAGCATCATCACTTCTGACCAGGCACAATATTCAGAATCTGTATTTATTCCAAAGCAAATTGGTGTATGTGATACTGGAGTATCTCACCCTGCTTGAACTCTGCACACTCACAAGCTCTGCATCTTGGCCTCAGCAAAAACTGTAGAAGAGAGTAAAAGGTGTAATATTTGCTATAGTTGTGTCTATAGTGCAGGTTTGTGTAATCTAGTACAGAGAAAGCCATGCTGGCACTAGTCACCCTCTAACAGAAGCAGTGTAAATGGTCTTCTGCATTCTCCTGTGTAGCCTGATTACGTGTGAACTATCTAATTTAGAGCAAACTTGGTTATATCCACACTGAGTTGCAGTGGGAATATATCCAGGACACTGTGGGTGAAGTAAGAAACTCCTCTTAGTTACTAAAGCAGTTTCACGAGACAGTGTGAATTCAATAGGCTTTTTAGTTAGTCTGGGAGGCAGAGACAAAAAGTAATGAAAGAAGGATTTATTAAGAAAATCTGTAACGCTTTAGTGAGGTCTGTGCATCTTGGACTGGGTCAATTGCTTAATCTTTTGGATGTATATTATGAAAAATTAAGAAATTATCTTAGTTTGACTGGAAGATTTTACCAAGAGCACACAGACTTGAAAGATGATAACTTGAGAGGATGAAAAACATGGAAGGCTCTCCATAAGAAAAGAAACCCAAGGAATGTAAAAGTGAATATGATTAATGCCACAATATTGGTAAGGGTAACACTACACAGAAGTGTGAAAAGGAGTCCTTTTATTGCTGTTTTTGTTGTGTTTTCTCACAAAGGATAGAAAGGCGGAGTTAAGGAATTAGGTGACTTAGAAAATAGGAGCAACAATCTTAAGACTGGAATTTTTGGCTGAATTTGGCAAATTTCTGATGAATTTTGGAGACTGTAAAAACATCTGGTGTTGAAACATTGAGAAATAACCAGGTACTTGCAGGATATTATTTTGCAGAGAAAGTGCTTGCTGGTTTTGGGATTCATCAGTGATAGCAATCATGTGCACAGCATTTAAACCCACTCTAGGTTATGTATATGCCTCAGTGTTAGTCATTCAGTTACTGAAACCTATGTCATTTTGGAGTAGAGGCAGAAATTCCGTAGCAGTTTGCTCAAAGAGATTAGCTAAACAGATTTGTCACACAACTGTTATTAATAGTTACCCCGAGTAACTCTGGGGTTGGGATGCAGGCAAGTGCTGATCCTGGTCTGTTTAGGATGACTATATGGAATCGGCTGAAAGATGGTGCAAAAACAGACATGCAAGCACATCAATAAGTAAAAGGTGCAGGGTGTACAAAACCAGTTTTCCATGGTTGGAGAAACTTCAGGAGAAGTTCGTTTCCTACAGATGGAATTCATAGCTCAGCACAGCCTCCACTACTCCCAAGGCTCCAGCTGCTCACTTCATGCTCTCTCAATGCTGTTGTCCCTCTGTTTTTTTTTGCAACCTGTCCTTTCTGCCTGCAGCCCTGCCTACTGGCTACCACACCTCTGTCTTTTCATGTTCGTGTCTTTAAGAGAGATCAGTAACACCAGGCCTGTGCTTATCAATTGTGTCCTTGCATTCATTGCCTTCTGAATACTCCCAAGTACTAGAGAAAAAAAAAAAGCAAAAGTTCTCTGGTATCACTTAGTCCTTGATGAAATGCTTCTGGTCTTAGTTAATTTGGGAGTGGAGTTCTCCACCGGGTAAATAAGAAGAACCACATTTTTCTTTTAAGTGGTTGGACTTAAAAGGACAATTTTCTCTTTTGACAAAATGCACAACAAAGAAGATTCTGATCTGCTGCTAAGAAAGGTCTTTTGGGCACCTGGATGTCCAGGAAAATGGAAAAGTCACTAATATTGGGGTTGAGAAGAGGGGGAAGATGAAAGGTAAGGGAACTAGACTCTGCTTTAGGCGTATGATGGAGATTTGTTCAATTTTGTATTATGGAGCTTGCATGCCTGTAGTAACAACAGTAGTGGAAGTCAGACCTCTTCCACTTACCAGCTGAAATAAGATTTCATTTACGAACATAGGACAAACATGAGAAGAAAAAGGTCAGCAAAACTTGAGCAAATAGAAAGGTAAACCTGCCACCTTTGCTAATGTGGTTCCTCCACAGTGCAAGTCTTGCTGTGCACAGCAGATTGAGATTAGTAGCATAGAATTTGTTTTTCTTACCTCATTCTTTATTCTTGTGCTTTTGCAGGATGCCTTTGTAGCATTCCATGTTGACAAGGTGCTGGTGAGCAAGTACTTGAAGTCACTGCAGATTGGGGAGCTGGCACCAGATCAACCCAGTATTGAGCCCACTAAAAATGTAAGTCTATCTTTGTAAATCAGATCAAAGGGAAATATTCTGAGATTAGACATTGTTCTGCTGTATCAGTGCAGCTCCTGGAACAATGGGATCCAGGTTCTTCACAATTTTTTGTGCTACTACATAGAAACAATACATGCATATTAGTCTCTCAACCACATAATGGGGATTTAATTACATTCCTGAAGAATAATTTTTTCCTTATCACAGCAATTCTACATACATAGCAGAGCCCTGTTTTGCTCTCATGAATATCACAGCTACCACCTTTTCTTTTTTCCCTTGCTTTGATAAAGAAATAACCAAAAATTAAGTAATTCTTTCCAGCTGATAGTAAACTTTCAGACTGTACTCCCTTCTGGTGCAGGTATCTGTAGGGAGAGACTGCAGGTAGAGTGTTTCTGCCTTGAATTAAGTTTCACAGGCTGTATTGACATTGCCCTTTTGGACAGCATCCTTGTAGCAGTCTCAGGTCATTCACAGAAGCAATGTTGATTGCACTGTGAGAGTAACCAACCTAGTACGTCAAAGAAAACCTCATGAGAGAGGCACAGGCAACAGAACAGGAATAGTCTTGGAGCACAGATACTCCCTGGGCCATATGGAACTCACTGCTCCCCAGTAGCCAACACTATTTGTTTTCCCCATTCTTCCCAGCCTGCCTCAACTCTTCTTTTGCATAGCACCACACTGCATGATGAGGGGGGCAAGATGATACATGGCCTCATGTAACTCAGACATTAGAAACACAATTCAGAGCAGTCTGGCTGTCCCAGAATGGTGTGGCCACACTTCCTATGTAGACGGGACCCTCACACCCACCTGTGGCCATGCCTTGCCTATCTCACAATCCCATAGCTGGCCTGCACCAGAGCCTGCATGTGCCTTGCTCCATGCAAACTCCATTTCCCCAGAATGACTGGAAAAGTAGGCTGGGAAGCTCCTTTGTGGGTTGGGTTGCATGGAGACAGGAATCAGGTTTGGGAGGCATCTGTGGAGCTAGCAAAGCCAAAGGTGGGTTGGTCTAACAACTGAGCTGTGCTCATCCCTTCTTCCATCCTCCTTCCTCAGTGCCCACCAGCCTGAGGTTGTAGGTGCCGTTTTCATACAGACATTTAACCCTCCTCTGTCAGTCTTGGGAAGGGTAAAGTGAAAACATATATTGATCTATTTGAACTGGTGGCAGAAGAGAAAGAATTTCATCCCAAAGACCTACCACAAGATGGCATGCTATGTTCATGCACATACAGCACAACTTCCATCTGAGCCCTGTGCTACCTGCCAAGAAGATAATGGAAGAAGCACCAAAGATATAGTCTTAGGGATTGGGGGTACAAATGTTGTGCTATGTGATGGCTGCTGCTTGCCCCTCTGCTTTGGGCACCTTATCAGGCAAAGACACAGAGAAGCTGCAGGAGAACAATAGTAAAGTTTACCAGTGTGCAAGCCCATCTTGCCCATTTGGCCAGATTCTTTGCTCTTTCCTCCATTAAAGTGGTCCTTGGCTTTTGAGGTTGCAGTGCTACACTCTATAAACAGGGAACATATAACATTGATGCTTCCCACAGAAAATGCTGGTGAAAGACTTCCGTGAATTGCGTGCTACTGTTGAGAAAATGGGACTTCTGGAGCCAAATCAACTCTTTTTCTTCCTGCACCTCGCTCACATCCTCCTGTTGGATACTGCTGCTTGGCTTATTCTCTTCTACTTTGGGACATCCTTAATGCCCTTTATTGTCTCTCTGGTGGTGCTGACCATTTCCCAGGTAAGCAACTAAGTCCATAGCATGTACATACAGGATTGCATCAACTTACATACACATAATACTATTGCAGTTTCGTAGTCTTCCATTATATAGCATGTGTTTACAGAACGTGTAAAGAAGAAATTCTGCATGTGGTGAGCTTCTCCTAAACTTAGCCTGAGATTCTTTCAGCAAGATATATTCTGGGGGAAGCTTTTAAAGTATCAGGAGCTCATAGTTCTTTTCCAGTTTTGACTCTGGAGCAGTCTGAGAAATAAATCTTGCTCTTTCAAAGCAAAGGATGGGTGCGGAACTGTCCTGGTCTCAATTCTTCTTTTTTCCCTCCTCCCAATGTTTTCTTTTTCTTCTTCCAGGTCCAGGCTTCGTGGTTACAACATGACTTAGGGCATCTTTCAGTATTCAGGAAGACCAAGTGGAACCATCTGCTGCATAAGTTTGTGATGTGCCATTTGATTGTAAGTACTTGACCCTGGAAAACTTCTTAGATTTGATGGCTTTCCTGTACAAGTGTGTATTCTGAAGACTCTGTGAAGGATAGTGTTGTAAGGAATGGAAGGAGTTAACGCCTCAAATGTTCATCAATGCAGAAATCTTTGATAAGTTGTGGCCTTTGTGATTTATAGTCTAAGGAACACTGCCCAAGGAAGCATGGAGTGTATCGAAGGGAGCACGGCTCTGCTCCCTTGCAGTTGTATTGCCGGATTCCTTAGATAAGCCTCAAAGGGAGGAGACTAGTCTGAGTGAAACCCTATGTTGGGTTAAAAAGGCTGGTAAGAGAGAGAAACAAGCAGCACCAGAAGGAGCTAAGCAAAAACTGAGGAAAAAGTAAAGGTGGTAGGGGGGAGTATGACCGCTGACTCAATTGGATGAGGGAGTTGGTGCACTCCATCCCACCTCAATGCATGTGCAGAACCCCTGCTCCACCTTTCCCTCATCTCTCGTGGAAATGCCTCTTTTTGTTTAGTATTCTAATCAGCTGATAAGATGAACTTTAAAAGCGACAGAAAACTATGCTGGGGGACCACCCACCACCCAACAGTACTGGACCTGAGACAATGCCAGAACCTGGGGTGGTGATCTGGACACTTTTGACTTTCTCTCTCCTTTTTCTTTTCTTTATGATTTGTCAATAGGAGACCACACTGCATACTATTCCTTTCCAAGTTTAAGTTGTTTCTATTGCAAGCAAAACATTTTATCTGGTCATTTGGTGTTGTTACACCTTAATTTAATCAGAGGGAATCACAGAACCTGTAGGACTCCCTGGGCTCCCAGTCCAGGTTGTAACAAGTGTGTTCAGCAGTGGGTGAAGGAGGGAACTGGAGACAATCTGGCTCTGAAAGCATGATACTTCTCACACTTTGTTCTTCACTAAAACAGGGGGCATCAGCCAAATGGTGGACTCTTTTGCACTCCCAGCACCATGCCAAACCCAACTGCTTCCAGAAAGATCCTGACATTGATATGCACCCCTTTTTGTTTACTCTGGGGAAGAAATTCTCTGTGGAGGTCAGTGTGTGTGTTTGTGTGTGCACGCACGTGCACATTTATGTACCAGGAACTGATAAGAACACTTTAGTCAACAAAAAAGCACGCTGAACCTTAAAGATCTAAAACTGAGATGTGATGACAGTTTCTGAAAAAGATTGCTTTCATCTGTGTCTACTTTCTTCAGCCTTTGTAAGCAGGTCATAGCTCATATTAAGTTCCTTTAAAAAATTCTAGAACAGCTGACAAGTGGTTGTAAATAATTTAGACATGATGTACATGCATCACATATAAGGTGGAAAATCCATCAGCAAAAAAACTATTAATGGTTATAGCAACTTAATGACCTAGTGGAACAACTCGGTAATTAATGATTATTAGATAACTTGTAACCATCTATATAAACACGTCTGCAGTTGGCCTGGGATTATTACTTTAATATTAATGTCTCAGACTCAGAGATGTATGCCTTCTAGGAGAAGGCAGAGTCTTGCTGTGGCAGATGGCCAGGACTGAATAACGGAGGCTGCTCCTGGAGCTCTGTAGGTCAGTGGCAGGTCCCTCCAGCGAGCAGAAGCCATCTGACCACATGGACTGGTCTCAGCTGGTACTGCTTGGCCACTTCCACCAGCAAATGCTGAACCCCTTCAGCTGTACAGCTTCACTGAGACACGGTCAGAGCAGCTACAGCAGTGAAATATTTTTTTCCTTGGAAGACTTTTGTCATTATGAAACTGTCAGTTAAGTGTACAGGGTCAGAGAAAAAACTGGGGGGGGGGGAAGGAAGAGAGGAAAATACATACTTAGCCTTGAAATATCTAATATTTCGCAAAATGAATTATGAATGTAGTAAGAATACAAAACCAAGGAAATTCACCTCTATCCACCCACAAAATTATTTTTATCAAAACTTACAGATTATACCATCTTTTAATGGATGAAATGTTCTGGTATAGTTTTTACTACATCATTCTGTTCCAACCTAGTTGGTTGTGGTACCTGTCACAGAAGTTTCCTTCCTACCAAATACCAACATAGGTTTTCCTCAGGGGCTGTAACCTCTGTTTTGGCTTGTCATAAGTGTATGTAGAACTACTTTTCAGCAGTCAATTTATTTTCCCCTACTGGAGAAAAATCTCATGCTTGTTTAACAGTTTATCTCTGAAGGACTTCACAAAACTGTAAGATATTAAAGCCTTACATTAATGGTATGAGGGTTTGTAGAAAAGGCATATGATGCCTGTAAACCAATAGGACAGTTACACAAGAGGGAGACAGTAGGAATGAGGGTTGTGTGAAGTGTGCAAGAAGAGCGTCTCTGGGGAAGAAAGAATGGAAAACAGCAAGTTACCTGTGCAGATTGCTTAGTTTCACCTCAGTATCTTTTTGCTGTTTCTTTTCACAGCTTGGCATCAGGAAGAAAAAATATATGCCATACAATCACCAACACAAATACTTCTTCATCAGTGAGTATCTCCATTCTCCCTCAATACCATGAGGGGTATTAGTGGGGCTTATAGGTCTTGCTTGTAACTTGTAGGCCTTGAGCAGAACTAAGGTGCCTGCACCAAAGGACATACTAATAAGTTTGTATCTAATTTTTGGAGAAGTTGAAGACTTGACTGGATAAGACCCTGAGTAACCTGGTCTGACCTCATAGCTGATGTTGCTCTGAGATCCTGAGGGCCTTTCCAGCCTGAATTATTATATGAATCTCTGTGAGATAAGGTTTCTGTGCCTTTCTTGTCTTGAAATACATGAATTTGGTTTGAGAATTTCTAACGAAATGGCTTAAGCTTGTTCAGGGTAAAAAAAGCAGTAGCATACACTTATCCCAGGTCATCTTAAAACTGTACTGCTTTGCAAAAATAAGTCTACATCTATCTGGACAGAGAAAAGGAGGAAGCTCTTCACTCACTAATTAAGGAAGTTACTTGGGAGAGTGTGATGAGGGCTCCAGGGACTGTTTATGAGCTGTACAGTGTATGCCTAATAAAGTGCATAAACAGAGCAGAGGAAAAATTCAGAATATCTCTGCTGTCAGTGGCCCTGATCTCTAGGTTCTCATTCCTGCCCCCTTCTCACTTTTGTGAAGTTTTATTCCTTTTGCAAAGCAGCACAACTTCAACACTGGACAAGGAGACACCACCTCTTGCATCTCTCCAGAATAGTCTGGTCTGCTAGCCTCAGGACAGTGTGAATTTGAACCCTAAAACCCAGCAGAAATGGGCACTTTCATGTTGTAATTTGTTTTTAACCTCGAGCTCTCAGGATGGCAGGCACTGCACTCCAGCAGCGGCTCTTCTCTTAAGTGGCTAGACAGAACTAGCAGGGTTAGTTCAGATATACAACACAGATGCTTAGTTAAGGAAGGTGATTGTGTGTTACAGTATCATACCACATCTTTCAGTAATATTCAAATTTAAAGAATAGCCTGTGGGTTTCTTTTTGTTTTGGTTTGGTTTTTAAGTACAACTGAGATGTCCATTTGGAAGGTTGAGCTTGAGTTCTTCTTGCAGCCCAAAATCCCTGGTAAGCAAGGGATTTTGTATGTATTCCTGTTGTTCCCCTGCTTAAAACAACTGAATGGGGAGCTAGGTAAGTTCTGGGGCTGGGGAAGCCACTTCTCAAAATACTCCTCTGTGGTTGTTCCTCAGTTAAAAGCCTAAAATGAAATCTTAGGTTTGTAAGCACTACCAGATTAATGGAAAGACCTAGAAAAGTTTAGGCGCACAAGCCATAGAATCATGGAATGGTTTGGGTTGGAAGGGACCTTTAAAGCTCACCTAATCCAACCCCCCTGCAATGAGCAGGGATATCTTCAGCTCAATTGGGTTGTTCAGAGCCCCATATAGCGTCCTAACCAGTATCAGTCAGTTGCTTTCTAACAAAGTGGTTACTGTGCTACTCAAAAGGATTATCAAGCTTCTGGGGTCTTTTCCTCCTTAGTTTTCAGGATTCTCCACACACCTCGCTTTCACTCTTTTCTAAATGAAGCCATGGTCATAGCTCTCCGTGAGGAAACAGAAGGCAGTACTACCTGTGTTGACAGGTGACATGAGCAGTAGCAGACTGTCATGCTGAAGAGCAGGAACTGTCCTCAGGCAAGCTTCAGAGCTTCTTGTCTTACCTTTGTTTTACCTCTTGAAGTCAGCAGGCTCCCAGATTGCTTGCTGTTTGTCTGCACTGATGCGTCCTGATATCATTCAGAAAATTCTGCAGCACTAAAACTCAGAATATCCTCTGTATTGAGTAGGTGTTTAGGGATCCTTTGCTTCCAGTTTGATTATGTGTCATTCAGTCCATGACATTATCAGTGATAATGAATTCTCCATTACAGCTCTTCCTCCGCTCCTGTTTCCCACCTACTTCCACTACCACACATTTTATATTGCATACACAAAACGGTATTGGGTGGTAAGTATTGCTACTTATGCAACCAAGAAGGGGTCACTCGTGGGCCTTCAACCTGTCTTCTGCACATGGAGCCAGCTTCTGTCCAGAGCTCAGTCCCTGCTGTGTGACACTATGCCATCTTTAGATCTAATATGATGGTTAGTTTGGTGCAGTATTTTCAGTGGCTCTGCATACTTTCTGCTAAACCCAGTATGTTCCCCAGCTCGATGACAAAGGCCTGAAAACACACAACAGGCTGTTTGACTTGTGTTGCTTTGCTTCATTTGCAGAATCAGGGGGTGTACTGTCTCCTTTGGTTTGGGAAGCAAACTGCAAGGTCCAGAGTGGTCAGGAACGGGAAGATGTGGATCTATGGGAACTGTTGTTGATTTGGTAGAAGTTTGTATATACTTGGCACTAGTTCCTATGCCAGGCAGCCAGAATTAATGCTTCGTTCTTCTTCTTGCATGTGTTATGCATCCAGGAGGACAGAAACTTCCAGCCACGATGAGATTGCTCTAGCACTTGGTTCACTCTGGAGTCCTGGGCAATGATTTGATACAAGTCTTCAACTCCTGTTTCTGAGTGCATAGTCATTTGCTAATAGACTAATCTACTTACTGGACATGAATGCTCAGATTCATCTCTATAATAGCAAGCCGTGAAAAAAAAAAAAAAAGTGTTATTAGCATATGTTAACTGGGGTTGCTCCAGATGACTCAATTTAGCAAAAAGCTACAGAAGTCGAATGTAGATTGATTTCTTGTACATATAACATGAAGCTTAGAAAAATATTTCAGCGAATGCAATGTATAATTATTTTCTTTTCTTGTTGTCTCTGGTTTTGGTAGGACTTGGCCTGGATGCTGACCTTCTATATCAGATTCTTTTTTACCTATGGATCATTATTAGAAATAAAGAGTCTCTTGGCATATTATTTTATATTCAGGTGGTATCTGTTTAGAAGGTTCTTCAGCCTTCCTCTACATATTCTTTCCTTCTGTGCCTGCCTGCCTTCTTCCTTTGTTTACCTTTCCATTTTCTCCTTTATCATCTAATTTTTTGCTTAGTTTTTAATTCCATAAAGCTAAACTAAGAGTCTTCTGCTCAGTAACCAAGTTTTGTGTCACCTTTGGCTCTGGCAGCAAAGGGACTTCACTAAGTGCTGACCAAAGTGAGAAATACTTACCTTACTTAACATTCAGTGCTTCAGGTGTCGGGTCTGGTTAGAGAAAGAGAACATTTAAGAGAAACAGCTTAGCCTGGGCTTGCAAATGCCCAGGCATTACCCAGCAGCATTGGCTTGAATGGACAATATGCTCTCCACTTGGATCATTTTACTGATTCTAATCAGTTTGGTCCTTGGCTACATATAAAACAAGCTGAGTACCAGGCTATGTCAGTTTTATAACAAAACATATTAAATATGACTTTCATAAGGAAGTATGAAACTTCCAGGCTTTGGAAGTTCTGCCTGGTGCTGGATTAGCAAGGCTGGTGTTCAGCCATGTGTTTGTAAGTCTGGCTATGCTGTTATTTCAACGGCTCACCATTCACTTGCTTACCCGTTACTGAATTCTAGTCTCTTGTCTGATTGCACAGGATGCTGGAGAGCAGCTGGTTTGTCTGGGTTTCACAGATGAACCACATCCCTATGGATATTTACTATGACAACAATTTGGACTGGGTGTCTACTCAGGTAAAATATTTTCCATTCTTAAGAATTGTGGCCATACAGGTACAAATTCCAACCATAAAACAAGCAAGTCCTCTATTGCATTAAGGGTGAAAACTTATTGGTAACTGAGAAGTGAAGGTTAATAGGATAATGGGATTCAGTTATGCTAATAGTAAAGGAGGACAGAAATGAAAAATTCATGGGCAATCTAAAATCAAAGCTAGGTCCCAGATCTATTTCCTAAACATACCCACATCTCCACTTACTGTATCTTTCTGTCTTGGACCTTTTCCATTTATGAGGAGATGGAAGTTTGTGTCCTGGCCTTACTGAGCAATTTCACACTAGCAGAATGGCAGTGTCCCCAGGTTGCAGAGAGACTTATTGGAATCCAGCAGTAAAGTCTGACCACCACAGAAGTACCCTGCCATCTCTGCTTTTTCTGCAGACATTGGGTTGAGAAGACCCAGGAGGAACTTTTGACTGTTCACATGCATTCTCACAGGAGCACAGAGACAACTCCTAGTTTTATTATGGTCCATGTCAGCTGTCTACATACATCTGCTAATCCACAAAGCTGAAGGATTATGATCCCTGGCTTGAGGTAGCTCAGTTTAGGCTAAAAGAAAACAATAGACCAGAGTAGCACAGCATGTTGTGCTCTTTAGACAAATGAGAAAGGCTGAAGTCACCAATCTGTACTGACTTTGCTTTCCTTTACCCTCTTCTAGCTCCAGGCAACATGCAATGTTGAGCAGTCTCTGTTCAATGACTGGTTTACTGGGCATCTGAACTTCCAGATTGAACATCAGTGAGTATGCACCCTGAAAGAGAATTTTCTTCCCTCTGTTTTTGAAAAATAGTTGTTGTTTTTTTTTTTTTTTTTTCTTGTCCCTGTTCTTCTATGCTCTGAGTGCTACTAGTATTTAAAAAGTTAAAAAGACTGAAAACCCTGAAGAGAATCATAATGTAATTCAAAACCATCACTGGACCCACAGAAAGGTGAGAATAACTAGCTTAAACTAGTGGGCAGGATCTATGAAACCTTACAGACATCAAGAGGGTCTATCTAAAGTAGTAGCTCATAAGCATTAGTGAAAATGTACCTGCTAAAGCACCCTGGTTATTGTTTGACACAGTAATTTAAGCGTAACTATACTGACTATTTACACTATTACTCTAGAGACCCTGATAAGCAACTGAAAGAGGGATCATCTAATTTTCTCTGCAATGGTGATGGTTACTTCTGGAGAGAGAGGGGTGGAGGGGAAAAGCAGTTTCTTCTAGTTTAGGGTGTCACTTAATTTGGAGAAATGTTGCTTCAGAGATGCTAGGGACAACTGGAAAGTAACAGATGGTGAAAGCAGCAAAGTCTTAGGAGATATTTGTGCCAAAAGCACAGCAAGGGGAAAGAGCCAGGAGCAGCTAAAGACCCTCCTCCGTGTGAGCTGGGTGATTGCGGGGAAGTAATTATGAATGTGAACATGTGAAAGGCAGTATTTCTTACAGAGCACTGAAGAGAATGTGTCTGTCTCCCGTTCACAGCCTATTCCCCACAATGCCAAGACATAACTACTGGAAGGTGGCTCCTCTGGTGAAATCCTTGTGTGCCAAACATGGCATTGAGTACCAATGTAAGCCGCTGATCACGGCTTTTGCAGACATTGTACAGTAAGTAATGACACACTGGCAAAAAAAAATTGCAGAAGGATGTAGGAGACACTGGGATCCTAAGAGTAAGAGCTGGCTTGTGCCTCTCCTACAAATCAACACACAGAAATCCTTGTTTCCCTTGTTCCCACCAACGCTCCCCTAAGCACCCCTGCATAATGTGACCTCTTGCACTGTTTCTCTCTCTCAGCTCTCTGAAGAATTCAGGAGAGCTCTGGCTTGATGCCTACCTGCACAAATAAGAAGACAAGGCCTGATGGTACCATTCACAGCCTGCCACATCTTTGCATTCCCAGCAAGCTGAGGAGCAGGGACCACTTCTATGGCAGAAGAAAATGGATAAGAACTGAAGGATATGATTTCAATAGATATGAAGTTACCTGATTTTTACTTCTGGTCTTTCCTGGTGTTTTGGTTCAGATATGTTAAGAGTGGATAGGGCAAGCAGGAGATGAATGATTAGAACAGGGGCAAACTCTTTGCTAACTGTGAGTGAATATGGCCAAGAGCATTTCTAAGTCTGCATATGTATTCAAGTCAAATTATGGACCGGTGCAGCTGCACACAATTTCATGTCAGTCCTCTGACCAACTGTTTGGGTGTGGTGTTTTGGTTTTTTTTTTTTTGTTTTTTTGTTTTTTTTTAGGTATTCCTCCTGTGGAATATTTAATGCTTAATACAGTGTTTGCTTTGAAGTCATCTGAAACTGTACAGGATTTTGATTTAACATGGTGTTCCAGCAATGCACTTAAGTCATAATAAATTATAATAAACTACATATCACATTTAGAGTATAGAAATTGCAATATGCAGTTGAATAACAACCTAAATATGTTCCCTATTACTGTTCTCTAGAGCATCCTCATTGTCACAATGCCAGACATCCCCAGCTGTCAGGAAGAAATACATGGGTTGAAACCAGTTCAAGCTCACTGCTCTCTTTAAAGTTTCTTTAGTCATTGTTTGATTTTTGTACTTTGAGCTGGGCTGAGCCCTGTGTACGCTCCCCATGCTGGGCTGGCTGAGTTGTTTGTAACCATGAGGTCTCCACCGCTGAGTCTGTCTCCCAAAGTCCTCTTGAACACTTCATGCCTGTAATCCTTCATGCCACATCCTTTGTCTTCACTTCTTAAAACCCCTACTATTATACCAGATCTGTATTTCATTATCTTAACAGACAGCTATATCTCATTCTGCATAGAGTAACTGCTTGGTATCGCCATTAATATAAGAATATGATCATACTATAGAAACATAAACCAAAAGGAAAATAAACTAGCCATAAACATTTGGTCAAATAGAAAAGTTGCTATTGCAACTAAAACAAATAAAAGACAGGCCCGTAAAAGACTGAGCAAGTCTGACAAGCCTCAGTTCTGAGGCTTTGCATGCTCAATGCAGACTTGAGCGGTTATTTTTCATATAAATCATAAATCCATTATAAACACTAAATTGCAGTTATAATTGGTAGACTCAAGTCCAGAATTTCTACAGTTGAAGAATGTTCAATCAACTTCATGATGGGGAACAGATTTGTTTCTTCCTCACCTTCTGAGTCTGTGAGTAAGCTTTACTCACCTGGAGCTCGAGACTTGCAGGCGCTGCTGAGCAAGACTCTTCTGGCAAGCTGTGCTCCGCAGCTCCTCAGGCTTGTCTCAGCCGGTGGAGTTTGCGTTGACCAGATGCTATCACAGGGGAACTCGCTGCAGGTAAGGTCACTTGCTTAGAGAATGAGAGGGCTCTACCAAAAAGTAGAGAACAATAAGCTAATGCCCAGTATAGTTCCACGAATAGAAAACATTATTGGTGTCAGGTTTATAGTATAAAAAGCAAATCTAATACATGCACAAGCTGTGTTACTATAAGCATACCCTAAAACTAGTTCTGTCCTGTTGTAAGTCTGCATTTACTTTGTCAGGGACAGTTATACGAGTGGCTGTTACACTTAGCTCATTTAGCCATTTTGTTGAAGACAAAGGCATCTGCTCACTGGTTGAGTGGTCAGTCATTCCACTCCCTCTCCTCTCCCCAGAGCCTCCGTGGCACATAGCCTCTGCCGAGCTGCTCTTCAGAGCATTCCTTGCCTCTCTGCATGTGTTTTTTTTTGTCACATTTCACAAATCTAATCCAAGCTCTTCAGTAAGATAGCAAATTTTCTTTTGACCTTCTTTTGGAAGGATTTTTTGAGGAATTCTAGGGAAGGGGGCATCGGTAAGTAGCAGGAAGAATGAAAGTCAGCTGCTATTACTACTAGGAAATATTCGGATTGGTTTTCTCTAGCCCATAGTTATATTGATAGTTATTAGCCATAAAGCTAAATAGTAATAATAGTAATAGGATAATAGTATTATCCACCACTGTACATGAGTAATAAACCTAGAAGTAACACAACTGAGATCCTGGAACAGAGCACTCTCAATCAAACATGGATTGTTGCTTATAATTTTCCAGTAACAAATAATCCTGGTTTCTTTATTTAAGGAGTGCACTGGAAGAAAAGAGTGGTCATATTCTCTTTTTAATAAAGAAGCAGCACCAGAATAAACACTGTGTCTACCACACAGCCATACTATCTTCCCCTGTTGACAGAGAAGCTGTGCTTACTAGAACTACGTAACTAATGGGACTTTTGGAACAAAAAAAATAATTCGAGCATCAGCAGTTAAGACCACTTTCTTACAACAATATAAAAGATGAGGTTAATAAATAGGGATCTCACCTGGTAAAAAGAAAGATAGAAGAAAGCCTCTGATTAGATAATGAATGAACTTTGTATTGTTTGTACAATGATTATACGTGCCATGCTCAGCACTGACTTTTACTTAAAAACCTTTAACCTGGTACAGTCAGCCAGAACATGTAAAAGATTTGTTATTAAACCCTTGCTGCTTTGGAAAAATGTGCAATCATGTTTAGAGGTTAACAGCACAAAGTACGATGCCTGAACCATGGGAGTAAAAGAAGCGATTCCTGAAAACTCTGTGGGAGAAGTAAGGAGAGAAGCAGGACTCAGAATGCTATCAGTTATTCACAAACACACTTCCACTATTTTAAAAAGCCTTTTTAAATTACCTTAAGTAGTCTTTGAAAATAATTTCCTTGGGTAGATGAGAGGCCAGATTTTGAAGACCAGCATTTGATCTTTGGGCCTTCAACCTCACAGTGTGCAGACAAGGAAAGGTGTGCAAGAAGGTTGAACAAGATTGAGATGAAGGGCTGTGGGTAAATGTGGAATAAAGCTGAAGCAATATGGATCAATGCTGGAGCAAACAGGAAGAATTGACAATTTTTCCCCAGGTATCTTCAACCAATCTTATCAGTATGGTAGGTACTTAATAGCTTGGCAAGATTTTACAAAGAGGATAATACTGAGAGGGCCAAAGAAAGAAACATATACAAATTAGTTATACAACCCAACAGAAAAGCATATATAAAAAGGACGCTGATGTAAAGAAGTTATGGTACATAAAAACAGAGTGGAATTAAAACTAGCATCACCACTAGAGTATCTTCTCTAACTGTGAAGAATTATGTAAATAATACAAATTATTAAATGACATTCTAAAATACAGCCTTTACTTCTTCAATTCTGAAAGGCAAATTCTACCCTTTTCCAATGGTCGTATCTTGAAATCTGAGGTACAGGACAGACAGTTTCCACTGGAAAGAATACTGAAAATTTAAATTTGAAGTTAAATATTTTTTCTGGTAACTTCTCTCTGGAAAAGGGTTTGTTTTAGGAAATATCTGTGTGCATGACAAATTTCACTTTATATATGGCACCTCATATTAATATTAGATATTAAATAAATTAAACACATTCATTGTCTTCTGTGTTATAAAGCCAAATGGTAAATAATAAAAAAATCTTAAAACAAAAAGCTGTCTCTATTAAAACGTTGACAGATCTTAGCCAAATTTCTTATAGTATAATCACTCTATGTCACGGAAGTGTTGCCACTGCTCCTCAACCCACAGTCTTCACAAACTCGTACATGTATGCCTGTCAGATGCACAACTTCACTAAAAAAAAAGCACATAACTTATTTGTTTAAAATCTAAAGAAAAAGCAGCATTTAGGAAAAGTGATGAGTGACAAAAGCACCTTGGAGTCTGCACCTATGCAGTAAGTAAAGCAGGGAAAACGAGCAGAGATTTCTTCATTCTTGCTATTTCCAACTTCCCTCCACAAAGCCAAGAGCGTTGTCAAAACACTGTAGACAATACAAGAGCTAGGAGACGCTTTCATCTCCCTTTCTATGTGTGAATTTTGATTCTCCCCCTCATCTCAAGCTATACAAAAAGGTAACACCAGACTTATTGCTGTATTTAAATGGGTTTAACAGAAAGACTTGAGGAAAAATGCAAACAAGGCAAAATAAATTAGACTTCTGTTAAAGATTACACCTTTTGGTAGGGCAAATATTGTGTAATTGAAAGCAGCACTGGTTTGGCCAGCTTGCTTGCCAGGGTCTAGGCACCTACTACTTGAGCAGAGGTGGTTGGGAACAGGTCGTGCAGACCTCGGCTCAGGCAGGGGGTCAGCCCCACGCCTTTTGCATGGATGGTCGCTACAGCAGCCAACAGAAAATGATGTTTGCTCAAACAGGCACTTCACTCTGCATATTTTCCTTTGATCTATTTAAGCAAGACACTGCCAATGTGAAGAAACAACATGTTTAATTGAGTTGTTTTCTATAAGTGAGTAGGAACTAAAAAGAAGGCTTTACATTAAGCAAGGGTGAAGTAACTGCAGTGGACCGAATAAAGCAAGCTGAAGGGAAGTGAGAGATGGGTGTTTGGGTTCAACTCTCCCAGCAGTCAGTCTCCTAGACACAGTCCCAGTACAGAAAGAGAGGTATCAACTTCCCCAAGAACACAGTTACTCGCTTCTTCACACATTTCCAATGGCAACCCCAGCAGCATCTCTGAGTGAAAGCCAGGCTTGAAGCTGAAAACTCACCCACCTACCACCCCAGGGAAGGCTGCCTTAAGGCATTTTGTATTTTCATTCTGTTCAGGGAATATTGCAACTGCAACTTAGCCTGTAAACAGTATCTCCCCTCATCCTTATTCCTCAATAATTACAACATGCACTCACAAGGTCAAAGATTTCTGAGACTCAAGTGTAAAAAATAGAAGAGAGATGATTCTTCCCCAGATATCTGTTTGTAGAAGAGTGTATCCACTTGTGTGTCAATGCTGTTGCTGTCAATCCTGAATCAATAACCACTGTGAGACAAGGATTTATTGCATTGAAAAAAAAAAAAATCAATCAAAAAAAATAACAAAGTTCCCAATACTGGTCAAAGTTTTAAAATGGTGAAATCTGAGAGGAATGAGTAAAGAATAAACACTGAAAACTGAAGTTAACAGACACAGCTAATCTATATAAAACTATTTTTGTGATTTATCACATGCTATGAAACAGGAAATAAAGGTTTTCTTCTGACTTGTTCCATTATAGCTTTACAGTATTTTAATCAGACCATTGGATTCAACTTTGATTACAGCAACCAAGCAAAACACCTTTTATAATCTTGTAATGATTTGAGTGAGATGGATTAAGATCAAAGTGAACATTTCTGAGGTTTTCAAGAAACTATGTAAACACTGTCTGCAAGTTCTTCTGAAAAAAATACAAAGTAATCAGTATCTACTGTTTCTTTCAAGGTAAAGAGCAATGTATCATCATTTAATGAAGCAGGTCAGGCTGCAACTTCTAGGCTGAAAAATGTCACCATTAATCATACAACAGGACTAGACCTCCTTGATCCAACTACTTTGCTCTGGTAAGCAGGATGTAAGTTTGGGGATTTTTAATTAAAAAAGTACAACTGTCAGTTTACCAAGCTTTAGTGTGTGACCTGAAAATAAATGTCAGCACAGCTCCTGAGGGCCTGTTTACTCTCAGCCTGCAATGTATTGAGATTTCCAGCTGCATGGGGGTTGAAGTTTGACTTTGGGTGGAACCCCACCATGACAAAGTTCAAGCTTTTATCACGCAACTAAATCATACAGGCGCTACACAGCAATCCAGGCTGTAAAAATATCATTACCAGTGAACTGAGTATCAAGCTAATTCACCTATTATTTTTACACCACTGCCTATGTTTAGCCTTGCTAAGCTTTCCCAGACTGTGCAAACATGCAACCTTTTACAACTTCTGCCAACATAAAGCTTTTTCAGGAATCTTCTTCAGCCTAAACAATCCATCCCACAATGGAAATCATCCTGAACTAGAAGAGAACCTCAGAATTTCTCATGTGGGAGAAGTTTTCACAGGAAAAGTATATTGATACTTTCTTAACAGGACAGAAGATACAGGGAATGGGAGATGCTTTGCAGGTACCTTAAACAGCTATTTGTGAGATAATGGTACAGCACAGATTAGACAGCTCTTGTCTGGATTCAGGAACTAAGTGGGAATCTAGCAATTACTGAGACAAACCACAGATCTGGCAAAATTACCTTAATTTCATTTACAATCATCAAAATAGAGCCTTTGTTCTTTTCCCTGTTCTGTTCAAAATGGCCTTATGTAACTGCTTAAATTACATCATCAACACCAGTTGAGTCAAGGCTACACTCAAGTCCAGCTTTGCATGTCAGGACCTGAGTCATGATCACACAATCGTGAGCCCAAACATCAGTTCAGATTAAGTACTGGAATATTGCCTGGGAGAAAAGGTCAAGCTTTACCATGCACTGCATATCTTCATGTAATGTACTATCGAGAGATAAGAACATGCAACATATCACTGGATCAATCCATTTCTGCAGTACTGGTTTGAAGCCCCAAACATCACAGCAAACAAAACTAAAAGTTTGAGACTAAAATTATTTTGCATTATCATTTAAAGTGTTTATAAAAAAAAAATAAATCAGAGAACATTACATTATTCTTTACAAAATGATGGTGATTATTGTTGATAAACTGCAATTAAAAGCTCATTAAATTAGAGGGAAAAAAAATCTGTGGCATCTTTTTTCCTCTTGTTATACAGGCAAAGTATGCTTCAAAGCCCTGTCGTGACAGCGAGCGCATTTTTCACATCCAAGTATTCAGACATTATTTGAAACTCTCTTCCATTAAAAGGTTTCCTTAACACAGCTAAAAATACATGTTTTAAGAAGGCCCAACCTACTATGAAGTCCCAAGCTATGTGCACCTTTGAGGAAAGTTTCCTCATGGCAAACCTTTAGATTGAGCCATTTAAGGTTTCAAAACTAATACTAATCATGAATGCCAACTTTGAGCCATAGCAACTTATAAAACAGGTAGGTACTTTAAAGATCATCTCCAGTGTACTTCTACTACACTGTTTGCAGTGCTGATCAATATGGTTAGCTTCTTAGCATCATGAACTCATGCCCGATACTCAGAAAGCAGACGTTCCTTCTCACCCAATTAACATTTAACTTGTAGATAAAAATGAAGCTGTTTAAAAAGAAAGATTGAGTCCCAACTAAAAATATCCTCAGGCATTCACATGTGAAATGTGGGTTCTCAGGCTTAAGACAGGCTTGAACATTCATAGGCCGCAACCACCTCCTCCTGCACTATTAGGAAAGACTCTTGCTTTGATATAATTTTGTGAGAAAATGGTGACTCGCATGCTTGTCCAAGAGTTCATGTATCAGATCTCCAAATGGAGAACAAACAGCCTCTTCCTCCAAGACAGGTGTATAACGTGATTATATAACACTTCATTTGGCAAATCAACATGATTTATTTAATGGACACTAAAGCCACTGACACCTACACGCTGCTTAGCGGACAATTTCCCTCAGTGGCTTTCACCAGACAACGAGCAAGCTGGGTTCAAGAAAGGAATGGAGGGCTTACTTTTTCCAAGGTAACTTTAAGCAGTAACTATCTGATCCAAACCTACCTCACCCTTTTTCTCCTGAAGAAGATTTAGCAACTCCATACACTCACTCATCTGGCATAGCCCACTTCAACAAACATCCACTGATATTCTGGAATCTGCTGCTGCTTTTGGCTACTCAAGCCCAAACATTTTGGAAAAAGGAAAACAACCTGGGAATAAAGGGAAAGGGCCCATGAGAAGGACAGGTACTCTGTGATAAACTGTAATTTCCAAAACATAAGTTTCCAATTAATTTCCAATTTCACTGTTACAGATGTGCATCTAGAATAAAACAGTAATTGTAAAATGCTGAGCAATTCTCCTTTACACATAATTGAAAACTGTATTGCCACCATCTGCCAAAGGAATATTTGATTTTACTTGAGCAGAACACGAAGTCAAAACACTGAAGTGATATTTTTCACATGGCATGTAAACTGTCTTTTTATTCTCATGGTAATTAGCTGTAAATGGATTTGTCATCTTGTTTATTTGAAGAAATAGCATTTTTGTTCTTCCAGTATTGCCTAACTCTCTCAGTGCCTTTTGAAAATGCCAAGTTTTACTGTATAATACTTGCCACAGCCAGCTTAGCAGCGCAGAACACAGGTCAGTCTTTTAAGCACAACTACACTGAAATTGTGAGTTTTCAAAACAAAGGTAGCTGCAGAAACTACATACTACCTACCTAGCCCATTCTAGGTCTTCTCAACATTTCTGCAGAAGATGTTTCCTCACTTTTTCTTATTCCTTGGTGCTTGATTTTCTTTCCTGACTTGACATTATCCAAATTTTGGCCTAATCTCTACTCTAAATTAGTATGAATTACAGTAGAATTTATTAGTGATAACCATTTACAGGCATGGTCAGATAAAGGTCATCTGGACAAAGTTAATAAAATAGCTGTCCATGTTAAACACTCTAATAAAATCTCCACAAGTTAATGTCACAGTGTCCTTTCCACCATGGGGTCAGTAGGTGTGTACTTATCCACTGTTTTGTAAAGGTTACCTTACAATGTACAATGAGGCACATTGTTCCTTACCTGTGAAACAAAAAGTAGGGATTTAGGAACAAAGTAACTGCAAGAAGAAAAGCAGAACTGAACATTTGGGTAATATAGGTGGTAGAATATATCTCTGTACTGACGGCTCTTTGAAAGGCTGCATGGTAGCTTGGAGATCCTTCAAGTGCTGTATTCCAACTTTACATACTCAAACTATTAAGAACTGTAGTTCAGTAAAATTTGAGTGAACTGCAATGAAAAACTAACTAGATAACCTTGTGACAATTTTGCAAACGGCCACCAAAGTTTTTTAGATCAAAAGTAACAAAAAGGTCCTTCAGCAAATAGAGCCTTAAGTAAGGAATCATCAAAGCAGCCCACAGTAAAGCAGGACAGCAACATTTTCCCACCTATATGATAGACACAATCATAGACACTGCTGCACCACAGACATGAGCAGCATTCCCTTTTCCATAGGCTTAGGAAATTAAAGAGAAGGTGCCTAACAAGTGATTTCGCATATAAGAGCTGAGCAAAAGTTAATGCTTGGCCCCTACACATGAATTCCAAGTGTCAGCCTTGAGTCCAAGGCCTTTTTTTGTCAGTCAGGACCTGTGCAGGGCAAGGAACTAAGTTCTGAAATAGATACCGATTTCCCAGAACTTCAACAGCTTCTGTACAATCTGCAAAGAGCAGATGAAGGCGTGAACTCCCTAGATTAAGATAAACTATTTGAAAACATTTGCATAGAAAAACAGACATGTTGCCAAGAGGTTTTTAAATTTTATTTTATTTCAGAAATAAAAGAGGAAGACAATATAATTCAGTTAACAGACACAACCAAAATTAAAGATTAAGCCTTGCTTATTCTTTTCCAGACTCATTAGGATTTGATGTTCCAGCAAGAAATACTCTCATGCATTCATGTAGCTCTTTCAGTTCCCACTTGCCTGATCAGGTAAAAATCCAGTTGCATCCCAGAACAGAGTAGGCCATCAATTCATATTATTTTACTGCACCTATATCACAGCTAATTTTTCACCATAAGTTAGTAGATAAATGAGTTGGAGAAGTAGCTTTCTACAATTTAATGAAACAGCACTTCTTTATCTATCTGCCATCACTTCCGTGAATTGGCATTCCAACTTAAATGCCAAATCAGGAAGTACTCCTACTCAAAAGAAAACTCATGACAGACCCAGAAATATGCTGAATATTGAAAACAAATCTGCTACAATTTGAAATTTGTATTAAATTTGCTTGAGTTAAGAGCTAGTGGCTAGGCTCCGAGATCTTTTGTAGCATCATTCATGCTTCTTCCAATCCAAATGCTAATGAGGCAGTATCAGCAGGCAAACAATGAAAGCAAGGATTTCAAACAAGGATAATGCTGTGCAACTAGGATCTGGACTAAATATATATATACACTGATCTTCCTCTTTGGCAAGGAAGAAGTAACAGGCGGAGTAGTTACTAAAACTTGCCAGGACTTTAGATGCACGGTGAATTGCCTGATCCTACCAAGTACACTTCTGAAACTCTTTTGGTCTGTTAAGATTAACTTCAATGTGCAACAAGTATGACAGAATTTTTTTATTCAAAACTCCAATAGTCAACTTGGAAACTAATTATCCCATAACTGGCTAACACTTTCCAAATAGTTATGTAAGAAAAAATACTAGGTAGGATTTTGGACCTTATAAAACAGCAGTTTAAGCCTTGGTTTTGTTGTATGCTTGTATAGTAAAACACCCAGATACTGACAACATGCTTTCTCAGGGAACCACTACTCAGATTCAACCAAGGTAGTGTCCAGAAATTCCATAATTATAATTTAACTATTGCTCTAAGTTCTCAAATACAAACACTTTCATTTTGAGCCAATTAGTAAAACCTGATTAAAGATTATACTCCAAGACTGAAGACAAAAAAAGAAAAAATATTACTAAGCTAAAGAAACTCCTTTGGATCTAAGGAATAGTAATAGGAAAGACCTTTCAATCCAAAGGGTTCCAAAATCTTTTGCACTAATTAACTAAACTGCAAATACTAGAGAACATTACAGCATGCCTAAAATCAGGTTCTATACATCTATGTAGTTATAGATACCCACATTCATACAAACATGCCACTTTAATTGAAGTCTAACTCTGAAAACTAGCTCTGGCTTGATCATTAGATAGCAATATCAGATTACGGCAGTAAAATAACAGAATTTCAGGAATCACTGGGAGTTGTTTTGAAAGTGCTTGAGCCCAAATTTGGCCAAGATAAAAATATTTACACAGTTGGAGGTTAAATTTCTCATACACTTGGAAAATGATTAATTTTCTATTTCAGTTCTCACAGATTAGAAAAAACAATTCCCCCTCCCCAGTGAACTTTAAAGTGTAATCAGTTTAGTTGTAAAGTGTATGTAATAATAAAATATCCTTAGGTCAGTTATATCCTAACCTAACATTAGTAAGCAGAGATCATCTTAAAATATGTATTGGGAATAAAATTTACACGTATTCAATTAAACTTTCTAGTTAGCTTCATTTTGACCATAAGGAACAAGACATAACCAACATTTTACTTGAACTACTGTATATTGTTTTACTTCTGGACAGCCAAAAATTAAATTCAAAGGAAGTGTCTACGAATACTACAGATAACTATTTTATTAGAAATATTGAGCAACATCAGCTTTTTAACATAAACAAGTTTACCCATAAGGATAATCACAGTATCATTACAGAAGTTTGTGTGATTTAGCCAGGAAAGTTTTATAACAAAAAAAAAAAAAAAAAAAGAAACAAAACTGTATTTTGATTAAACTTATGTTTGCTTCTAGAAACAATTTTTAGTCATTAATTTGATTAAAATCACCATGTGTTGTTAACAAGCAGTAAAGCACTAGTGTTGAAAGGCACTAGGATTGTTAGCTTGTGTTACCTAGTTTCCAATACAGACACAGGCACTTGAAAGCTTAATAAATCAAGCCTGTAAAACACTTCTGTATTTGTGCGGAAATCTGCTACATTCCAACAGGTTGTCCTGCAGTTGTAAGGATGCAAAATTCATAGAGTAAATCTCTGCAGTATGCTTTACAAGTTGGATCTTTCTTTGGCAGACACACGAGATGTGGACTGTGTATATGTCCTAATTACATCCTAGAAATAATACAAAGAAATATTCAGAGCAAGTTCCATTAAAACTAGTTAGGGGAACTTCAGAAAAAAAAAAAATTATTTGAAGCAACAACGTTGTTGTTCTATGTAGCAAGCACTGAGCCCGGAAGAGGCTTGTGGCAAAGTTTCATTACCATTACAAAAAGTGGGTAATCCTTTGATCTGAAGAATCAACCTGAACACATTGCATATCATGTACAGTTATCTTCCAGAAGCCTTACAAAACCCAACTGAAACAAAGTAATTGTACATCATTGGTTAATCAGCAGGTAATTAAATGTAATTAGAGCAATGTTTCCTCATTTTGTAATTCTACATGCACTGACTTCTCCCATTTAAACCAAATGGGAATCAAGACCAATTTCTCACTTTGCTGGATTTACAAAAGCAGCTATGATATTTCACAGCCATTCAAAATTAATCTACAGAAATCATTAGCATACCTTTTTCCCACTTTCAGCATTGTATTTGTCCAGCAAAACTTGAATACGGGCACCATAGTCAGGATGAACATCAGTGAAGTTTTTCACCTAAACAAGACGACAGAACAGAAAGGGCAAGAAGAATTTTTCCCTCCGCTTCAGTACATAAGGAAGAAAATGAAAACTTTTTCCAAAAGTTTAATTCTGACCAGCCAGAAACACGCTATGAACATCTTCAAACACTATTACCTCACATAGAGCTCTTTCCAAAGCTAAACAAAGTTCCCCTGGGAAGGATAACGATCCAATCCCTCCCTGGCCTTCACTGCATTTTCCTGGTTTAGAGCAAAACATTACACTGGCAGTCATCTGGTATTTGAAGCACCAAGCTAGACACATAATGACATCCTTGCTGTTCAACACTAATCCCATTCCCCTCATCAGGAAAAAGTTACTTTATCATGTTATACTATGTAACTAGGTACACATTTGAGTGTTCTGTATTGATAATTCCTGCATAAGAAAAATCCAGCAGTTGCCTTCACAGAAGAGAAATCCTGATCTTCATTTCCACAAACATACTGCCATTTTGACACAGTTACCAGACCGCAAGAAACCTTGGAATAAAGAACAAAGGCTAAAAAACAAATAGGTCACTTACAGCTCTCTTCTGAATGAAGAGTTGTGCATCTTTAAGATGATCAGCAATGTTTTTACACAGCCTTTGGCGTTCATCCTCCTTCAGCACTTTGGTATAGAAATCTCGCACCTTTCGATTGGAAACAAAGTTTTATTTGAGATTCCCAAAAGCAAGCCATTCGACCTGTGGCAGCCAATAACACTTACTAGACTTCTAGGATTCATTATTACTGAAAAAGAATAGTTTCCACTTACTAGTCAAGCAACACTTAAAATACTCAAAATACTTAAAAGGCAACCAATTTGTGGGTGGATTTTTGTTTGTTGTTTTGGTTTGGGTTTTGGTTGTGGTTTTTTTTTTTTTTTTTTTTTTTTTTGTAAACCTGCTAACAACTTCCATTTCAAGCTTGAAATAACTGCTGCTTATTGACTTACTGAAAACAAATAAACTGTTGCTGTTGGAGTCAGGAATTGATGATCATGACATAACATGCACACTCTACTTTGCATATCTGCAGACACTAATTGCAAGAAGACAAAGTTACAACCTCTAGCTATCCGCGCTCAGAATATGGATGGCAAAGTGCTGTGAGAATTCACATCCACAAAAGATCAGTTATTCATGAAATTAAGCTGCATGGAGATCTTCTAAGGTCTCATAAGAGCTGAACTTCAGGTTAGCCCAGACGCTTCAGAGATGAGCCATGTTGGAATGATTCTTATTAACATTCTCTAGACTCATCCTATAAACTCATTTTATGTAATAAGCAACATGAAGCCTTTTTGGACATCATACCTGAGTCACATTATCTTCATTTGCACTATTGAAGCGCTGCACATCTCCCGAAACAGACATGCGGCTCTCCTTTACCACGGGCTGATCTTCTGGACCAGTAAAACTATTTGGATAATAGTTTGGGGCACCACCTGAAGACAAACAACCATCACCCCAAAAAAAAAACCCAAAACAATCAGATGACAACTCTCTCAGATTAAGTCAGAAGACAGAAAATGTTCTATTGCCTAGAAGAACCTAAATCTATTACCCAATTATGATTCACTTTATTAAAAACAGTTGTCAGCGTTGTTCTGTCAACATACAGCTGAACATCAGGAGCTGTGTCTTCATGCCAGTCCTCAACAGCACTTACTACAGAATTTCAACAGCTTTTTGATGGAAAAATTGATTTGTTTCAGAAACAAGGAGGTCTGGCCATTCTCACAACATTATTGCTCAGACAATTTGAGTAGACAAAGTCATGTAAGTCATACAAATTTTTAGATAAAGGCAGCATAAAAACACACTTTTATCTACCTATCTGAAGCACTGTTAATCTTAACTATGTAGGGGGTTTATTTTAAACACATAGTAAGCTAACAGAACTCCATAAAAACAAACTTATTACCTGGTTTTAGACAGGAGAAGCTGTTTTCAAGTTCTCATTTTACAAATATTTTCCTCTCCTCCCTCACCAAGTATTAGAATTCATAGCCAAGGGGAATACAGGGGTTTTCACATGAGGCATAGCTTAAGTATATCCTTGTTTACTCTCAGGTGTAAACCAGTCACTAATGGGCAAACACTGACAGAACATAACCTGCTGAATAGTGGTGAAGTTAAAGTTCTAGTCTTCGCATTTATACTCTTGTCTTTCACAATCAGTTGGAAATCAGACAGTAAAGCAGTTTAAGAAAGTAGACTCAGTGTATGAAAGTCAGTCTTTAAATTTAGAAAATGAAAACACAGATTTCTCAAAGACATTTAGATCATCTCTATTATTTTTATAATAGATTTTTGCCTAGGAGTAGAAACAAAGAGGTAGTAATTAACTTCTGTGAAACTATTTCTCTGGTATATTTCAGCATTTTAATTAATATTTTAGAACTTCTTCAATTACATCCCCTTTAACAAACGTGTTTTTACAAGTCTTCCAAGGAACATAAACTAGGGACATTACTGAATTCATTTGACTGGGGGTGTTCTCCTGTAAACCCCCCTTTCTCTTACAGGCCTATCTGTAAGTTTTTAAACACAGCTTAAGCTTCATTTGGTTTTTACACTTTTTAAAAAAACTCCCCACCCCCTGTCCAAACATCCATATAAAGTCTCCTTTCCTGGATTAATAAGAGATACACACCCGTTCTAAACAAGTATGTAAAGATAACAGAAATTATACTTTTCAGGAACCAAGGAAAAAAAAAAAAAAAACACACACCTTTTCTCCCCCATTGTTTACAAAATTAAAAATTAGTCTACTTGTAGCAAGCAGAAGCTACATACATTGAACTGAAAACCACTAATCACCTACTTCACACAAAGCTGAAGTTATGAGGAACATCCATGTGCTTCTTTTAAAGTCTTAAAAAAAGATTTAAAAAGCGCATTCTGTAATCTACACAAGCATGCTTATGTTCTACAGCAAAGTTTTGATTATCAATACTTGTACAAGAGTGATGAGAGACATACAGTGGATACATGAATAAGAGCAACGAAGGCTATGCAGCTGATTTAAGAATGCTTTCAACAAGATCCCTCAAACAGGAGATAACAGGATAAAAGTCAGTGTTTCATCAATTAGTATCATGTCAAGAACATAGCAAACAGAGAAATAAAAGGTCACTTTTTGTAGTAAGAATTAATCAGGTAGACCCTCCTCAAGGATCTGTATGAAGACTAGTACTATTCAACACATTCATGAAGTTACCTGAAAAGGGAGCAAATAAATTGACAGTTTAGTGCCTGCAAAGTTTAACCTAGTCAAAATCTAAGCCAGCTATTTATACTGACACAATCTCGTGCTACCAAAACAGTGCATCAAAACGGCTTTTCAGAAAACAATTTTATTTGCCACATAATTCACACAGGGAATAGCAATGCATGCAAATTTATACATGCACAATCGTGCATTCTAAGATATGTCATTACCTATCACAAAATAGATCTTGGGTTCATTTGGACAGTTTGAGGTAAATTACTTTCTGTTGCTGGTGAATGCCAAGTTAAAGAGTATTAGGGATGACAAGTGGACAAATTTAGGGCACTCTACAGAAAGAAGCATGTGGTAGATTCATAACAACTACATGTGAGGCCAACTGATCTCAAAGACCTAGTAATATAAGGAAAGGTATCAAAAGGTTGACAAAGACTACAAGAGGTAAGGAACGGTTTTCACATAAAAGACGACAAACTGGGAAGTCTGAAGCTCAGGAAATTATACAGTGATGTTTGAGTTGGTGGAAGAAGTCACAAGAGACACTGAGTGGTTAAGGAGAAAAAGTAGCATTTCTTGTAGTGTAAGTCAGTAATATCCAAACCTCCCATTTGTTTATCAAGTATCTTAAATCCCCTGTGAACAGAAAAGAGTTCTGCAGTACATGTGTAAATATCACTATATTTAAATATATTTCCATCACTACCTTGGTTGTCAGAAACGCACATTGGTCCATCTCTCTGGTAATTGGCCACACGGGTTCTGAAGGGGCAGTTCACAGGAATTTGTAGATAGTTAGGTCCCAGACGGTGTCTATGGGTGTCAGGATACGAAAAAAGACGACCCTAAAACATTTATCAATAACATTAACTACTGCTTGCTGAAAGATATCATTTAAGTGGTATATGCCAATTCAAAGCACCATACATTAAATAGTAAAAGAGATAAGACTGTTTCCTTTGCATTTATATTCCTCACATACTTCAGTCTAAAGTGACACTCGGCCACAGACTAACTTTGCTGGAATACTAGTGAAGAATGGCAGGATGAAGTGCATTTATGCAGCTTGGGTATTTCTTACCAATTTCAGAATGCTAAACCTTTTCCGAAGCAGGAAAACTGTTACACAGTAGAGATTAAAATTATTACAGTGGTGCTAAAAGTTACTACGGAATAATATAATATTCCCCTACTTACTTTCAAACTTAGATTTTAAAATTGATTACATCTGGAATATGTTAGTCCCTTATTTATTTACTGAACTGAACCTGAAGCAGTTCTAATGACATCTGGATGCCAAGACGACAGACTGAAGTCTGTGGAAGCAAAGAGGAGCAAACCAAAAGAACTGCATGATGGTTCAAGAGTTTATCCAGTTAAAACTGTCAAAATATCTTCTTGTTTCCATGGATATCACTTGAAATAACAATCTGGTTTTAATCTGAAAAAGTGTAACATGCAAACATCCACAACTCCACAGGCAGATTAGTCTACTGCAGCCGGTCTTATCAGATATTTTGACCTGTAAGAAATCTGATACTAATTCTAAAGAACAGCCTTGTGGTTTGTATCAGGGATTAGTTATATCTGTATTTTAAAGCATTTGAAGTCCACCTCTCATACTCCTAAGAGTTTATAATTCAAAGATATACTTTAAGAGCATGAATAAATTATGCATTGCTGCTATGGTTTTATCCCATACTTCTTGACAGACTGACAGATTTCCCCATTAACTCTGATAGCTGTTGCAGATGCCCTTTAAATTCTAGATTTTCTATTCCTTTATATTCCTTTAGTTCTTTCCTGTTCTCTTTATATTAAATTTCGGATGAGGACATCAAACAGTGATCATTAAAAAAACACCACCAAAATAAAATTAAACAAAAAAAAAAAAATCAGTTGCTTTCCATCTGTCAGGTTTACTGCTGCTACACAAAGGATAGGAATGCTTTCATAAACAGAAAAGCAAATGTAATGCTCTTCAGGTAAAATCTTACATGCATTGTAGTTTACCTGCAGCATTTTATCAGGGCTAGGTTCAATGCCAGGTGGCATGTTGCTGGGATCATATGCCATCTGTTCTACCTCTACAAAATAATTGACAGGATTCCTGTTCAAGACAAGCTTTCCCACAGGGATGAGAGGGTAGTCACCATGTGGCCAAATCTATAAAGATATAATACACATATGTTAAAATCAACATTATTACACTATTATACAGCTTAAATAATTACTAGGAAGCATTTGCCCGATTTAAGTCTTGATTGAGAAAATACATTACTGAAGAAATTTATTTTGCTAACAAACGTTTTGAGAAATGTGTTATTTTAAGAAATCTTTTGCAGTTAATACAGAGTATTAATGCAACTTATTGCCTCATCTCAGCATAATCTCAGCACTTGAATACTTAAATGAAATACCCACAGGCGCTTGAAAAACTGCCCAGGAATGCAATACTGTAGGTGGAACTGGAAGCATGATTGTTTTCAGCTACTTCAAAATGTAACCAGCCTAATTAGCCTTTTCTTTGTCATCTTAGCCTCTGCTTTCAATTTCAAAAGTCTTTAGCCGTTTTTGCAGAGCAATATTAGTGGAAAAAAAAACCAAAATAATACAGATTTATGTTAGTACCTTTCAATAAGCCATTCCTTGGAACAGCAATTGGAATTCTGACAAAATCAGACCAACAATCAGAAGCTACATTACCAACAACACTTAAAATTAGCGAGCTCAGGGTGTGACTGTATGATCTGAGATCACATTTGGGAAATGCAGTGCAGTTGTAATCGACAGGCCTGGAATCAAACCCTATCCATACTTCACTGAGGAAGAGTAACATCAGATAGATCATCAATATACTTTAATCTCCAGAATTTCTAAACTCATCATGACCATATAATAAAGAGTACACTAGAAAAAAAAAAAAAAAGGGAAGAATAAAAAGGACAAACTAACTTCATTAATAGGCACTAGTAAAAAACCAGTGATACTCCATGGAACCTGTTACACTTTTATAGATAAACTCAGTCCTGGCGTCTGCTACATTTTGATTTCATGACCTTTCTTAAACTAGCTGAAATTGAATATTAACAGTATCAGAAATACCTTAGTTAAATCAAAAGGATTAAATGGAAACTTCTCTGCTTCTTCAAACGTCATAACTTGAATGTAGAAAGACCAGGATGGATAGTCCCCCTTGGCAATGGCATTGTAAAGATCACGTATTCCATAATCAGGATCAGTAGAAGCCAATCTTCCTGCTTCTTCAACAGAAAGATTTTTGATGCCCTGGTCAGTCTAAAAGCAGTAAAAGCAATAGCACCAGTTACAACAGAAAGTATTACGGAAATCATTAATAAGAATGTACTTTAACAAGACTTATAATCTAAGAATGCAATTGTCCACATTCCAATCTCCAATAATTTGAGCTCAGAAAAATAGTACATTCAACAGCTGTCTTCCAGATAAAAATTAGAAAGTGAAATAAATATGTAATGCTATACCGCAGAATGCAAGACCATGTCCAAGTATGATTCCTCCAGCATATCCAAGTAAAGAGGTCTTCTCTCTCCCCTAACAAAACAGAGTGCTCCTTTATGGTCACATCATCCTACTTTTTTTATCACTTTATGTTGGCATGTGATCTGAAGGAAAAGTTGCAGCCCTCAGGACTGAAAGTTCTGGATTCTATATGAATCTCAATTTCCCACCCTTACCCCTAGTTCTGTGACATCTTTAGCACTAACTAAAATCTCACTTTAATAAATTCTGACAACTTGAAGGCTAAAAACTGCTACACAATCCCTCTTAGTTTAGCATAATGGTTTCCAAAGTCTTGCTTCAAAGGTAGATACCCAGCCTCCACTAAAGCCTAATGAAGTAAGAAACTATATTGCCTTTAAAATTTCAAAGGCAAGTTGTTTTCAAGCAAGATGTGCTAGAGGCTGCTTTCTCAGAAAAGTATGGAAGTTCTGTGAGGTTCTGTGAGCTCTTGGAAACAGAATAGTTACATTTTGGTATACAGTCGAGGCCATCTTAAAAATACTAAGTCAGTGCAGCTCATAACCAGAAGGTAAATGGGAACAAAAACCAGGTCCAGACCAAGAGAACTTCTACTTGAAGAAGCACCTGCTGAATCCAAACTACTGTGTAGCCATGAACATGAAACGGGAATGTATCACACACTGAATAAAACACACTTTCAAAGGGCTAGAGGATTCTTGCATCCGCACTGAATGATAGCAAGGGAGTCCGACAGGAAGTTGCTGCACAGCTTCATGCCCAAAACACACAGCAGTACGAGGCTGAAATGCAATAAGCTGAACTAGGTGCCCAGAGCTCACCACACAAGCAGACTGTGTTCTCCAATAACAAGAGACAGCTTCCCAATGAAGAGTTTTTCCTAGTCTAGTAACTACCTACTGTGTCACAGCAGGAACAATGAAGCTCATCATATTTGATAAAGGCATGGAACAGATATAAAAAAAAAAACACACACACTTTTCTGATTGGGTCTATGCACTAACAAGTCTTTTCTGAATTAAACTTGTAAAGTCACAGAGTATTTTTAGACAATCTATTTAAACTGCTTTTTTATCCACTATGACATATACTTCCAATAAATAACTGGAAAAAAACATCAATACCTTGACATGGAATTTGCAATAAACTGCTCTTCCACTAGCATTAACCAGTTTAAAAGTATGTGACCCATATCCGTTCATATGGCGATAGCCATCAGGAATACCACGATCGCTGAACAAGAAAGACACCTAAAGAGAAGGAACAAACAATATTAACGAACTCACCAGTTTAAGAGTAAAGTGACCGTTAATGCAATAAATCAACTTTTTCTCTAATCTGCATCGCCAGAGGATATCTTAATGTTATGTATTCCTTGACGAATTTCTAGCTTCAGTTTTAAGACTGTTAATGAAAGAAGAGTTTTGGTTTTGCACAAAGAACAACTGTGAATTAAACCTATGTGAAGTTTTATGCCCACATCAAATACCTGGTGAAGTACAAGACATTAACCTAGTGGTAATGTTATAACTTCCCCTATAAGCACAGAGTAAGGAAGCATGGATAATTTGAGTTAAATATAAATAAGAACTTTTTCCAGGTAAAGACAAAATTTGAAAACTGAAATCCTTAACAACTAGTTCTCTGAAGTCTTCAAGCAGTAAACACCCCACCACGCAAATATATCCAAAATGCTGCTTTTCTTCAGGTTTATGATCTCAAACAATGCTTGTGGTTTTTCTTTTTGCCATTAAAAGAAAATGGGTTCATAAAGAAGCCTTCCAGTAATTACTAAAAAATTACAACTGCATTTTAAATTTTATATTAGCTTTTTCTGCATAACCTTCTTAGATACAAATACATTTCAGAATAATTAGAATGCACTGTGAATTCTAGTCATCTTTGGAGTTGATCTAATGTGGTACACAATATGGAGCTTTAAATAAACTTGTACATGATAGCATTGCTTTCTCAGTATTCTACTGTTCTCTAACAGTTTTGCTGTTCACCATTATCTCCCCTGCTTTAGTGTTAGAAAACACAGCAACTTTCCCTTCATCCCCATATAAAATATTATTATGAAAACAGAAGAATCCCATGAATTTCATAGAGTCTTCAAAAGGAAAAAGGCTAGATACATGTACTAATAGTCTTAAAAGCTATTATAGGCCTTTCATCTTGACTGTTCCTAAAAGATTACGTAGGCTTCTAGATAAAACACAGGAAATAGATAGTTAAAAATATATGCTGTCATAACAATTTCCTTAATCATACAAAATGAAGTCAAAGGAGAACATTACTTGATGCAAAGACTCAGGGCGAAGACTCCAGAAATCCCACATCATGTCTGGATCCTTCAAATGAGTCTGAGGGTTCCTCTTTTGGCTATGGATGAAGGACGGAAACTAGTTTGTCCAGAAGTGGAAAAGGGAGGGGGAGGGAAAAAAATTATTCTGTAACAGCTCCAAATGATATGAGGTATATTAAGCAACTCCTGGTACAAAACAAGGCAAGCAGTATTTTCAGTACACAACTATGGAAGGAACAACACACTGAAAGACAAGACAAAGTTGTATGATCACTGCAAAAAAACAAAAAAAAGGTCATCTATTGTCATATAGATTTTATAACCAAACTCACTATCCCAATTTTACTGGTCTGTGAAAGTAAAACATTTGCAATTAGGACAAACAAGCTGTTCAAAGCTAAGGAATGTTTTCATTTGTCCAGTAAAGTGAGAGGAAAACCTTTTCAAGTTTGTATATCTGAACTTTACTGAATATTTGACTTAAATGAATGCAGAGATACTATAAAGTATATCTGTGCGGAACACCACCACTCAAGGAAAGTCCTTCTACTTAAAGTGCTGTTAAACTTGTACTAAAAGACAAAAAACACAAACAAACAAAGCAAAACAAAACACCAACAGATTTAATAAAAAGAATTTGCAAGAAGTTTTTAAATTGAAAAGTCCCCTGTCTGTGTCCCCCACCCCCAAACAGCCTCAGAATGAAAAAAACTGTCTACAGAATAAACCAGCTAATTTGAACACCAGTGGAATTGATCAGATCTGAAGTTAAAAACATAATAATGTATTTACTTGCTAGCTATTCTGCTGTAGCATGTGCTCTAGCAAACACAATTAAATGTGTGTGCTATTTGTGGTATGAATCCACATAGGTAATCAAGCATTAATTCTTAATTTTATTTTTTTTTTTAGTAACACCTTTTCAAGTAAAAAATGTTCAGACCATCTAACAAACAACGTTTAAGTGTGTCAGAACAACTGTTGCTTCTCAGTGAAGCAAGATGTGAACGCACTTTTGGACTCTTTTAGAAAGTATTGTCATCTTTTGCACTTACTCACCAACATTGCATCCCGAATAAAAAAGATAGGAGTATTATTTCCCACAAGATCCCAGTTACCCTCTTCTGTATAGAATTTCATTGCAAAGCCTCGAGGGTCACGAACTGTATCAGCTGACCCAGATTCTCCAGCTTGAAGAAACACATGAACATACAGGAGTGTTATGATAGGAAATGCAGACAAGTTGTAAGCATAAAAACACAGAGCTTGAAAAAACAGCATAAAATCCTAAAAGAGTGGAGTTTATTAAAGTCTTTTCTATACCAAGGAATTTGGGGCTTATTTTCAACAACACTTCAGGCACTGGACATTTCCAAAGTGTGAGCAGACACCCACCCAAGCATTCGGGCCACAGTTAAAGAAAAGACAAGCGTATCCACTTGAACCAATTAAGAGTGGAACTTGCATTATCACTAAAAGTAAACATCAGATTATAAGGCTGAATCAGCTAAAACCACATTAGTTTCTGTGCATGAAATCCCAGTGTGAAAGCTCTCAATTTAAATAGTGTGCTTAATAAAAAGGGAACTTATTATAGAAGAGTTGTAACCCTTTTAATTCCCTGCCAGCTTTAACCAAAACAGTCCTTTCAATGGGTAACTTTATACTAGAGCAAAAGCGTCCCAGAAGTACTCAGGAACAGCTAATGCTAAGCATGATGAAATAACAAGGACACTACTCATTCTCTCATAAAAAAATAGTAATTGTGTACTACAGAATAGCTAGGGAGCAACATGTTCAAACAGAGCAGGGAAAGGAAAGGTAACGATGCAACAACGTACTTCAGCACACAGTCCACAGATCAAACGCGGCCGCGTGTCTTTCCCCATATGCCATTCTGTGACCCCTTCGGTTTTGGTGACACAGGAAAAAGCCAGCTGGCCAAAAGCAGCAGCTCCTTGAGCCTTGTTGGTCTACTGTTTTCTCTCCAATACTACTTCCAGAACTGAATACTCATTAGCATTTCTTTTCTTTTAAATAAAGTAGTAACACATATATTTTGAAAGATCATTTTTCTGTCAGACAAGATACTGATCCTAAGGCCTGTTTTAACTAGTATCATTTAAGATTTTGCTAGTTTACGCATTCAGCTCTAAGAAATAAGAATTTATTTATGGAAGATTGTTTATTTTTCTTTGCCTAGTAAAGATATATAACTTTACAGCATGCATCCCCAAAACATTCCTACAGCATAGGAGATTACAGATATTTAACTTTCAAGTGTTAAACTGCAGTATGCAAGTGTTGATAAAGATCTGTCCAGAAACAAAGCAAGCTTTCCATCAGGAAAAAAAAAAATAGCTCAGGCTACCCTTTCTCTCACATTCCAGATGGAAAAGCATCTAAAGAGAGCTCTGACAGAAAGATGCAGTAGCTGCTTAAGGTCTTACAATTTAAATTAAATTCATAGAAGAGGGACTGGTTGGCAGAAAGCATTTCAAACTACCTTAAGTGCTCCACAATGCAAACATTGCTATCAGTGTAACTACAGCACATGTGTAAGGTACACGATAACTTTAGGGCCTTACCAACAGTGGAGAATCGTATAGCAATCGGAGTTCTTTTTCCAATGTGTTCAAACACTTTTGCTTTGCAATACTGGGTAATATCATGAGTGACTTCAAAATAGCCAAAGGCTCCTGAAGAGAAGCAATATCAAAATATCAGATCTAAATACCTTTCTTCCACTCATGGAAGTAACAGTAACAGTGTGTCTGTTATTCTGTTGTGGTCCAACATAAAACTTCAAGTCAAAACAGAACATGGAAATACACCAGCTTAAACACAGTTCATTTCTATGCACTAAAAGCACTCAATCTATTTTCACAAAATGAAGCTTACTTAACACAAACTACTATTCACATGGTGTTCACCCTCCCCTCCTTAACTGACTTACCAGTTCCCAGCAGCAATACAGACCTCCTTTCTACTGTGCAAAATTAAAAACAGTAGCTTTTTGGATGCTCTTCTGACAAGATTTGCATATTTATCTCAGAGCAAGATAAGTATTTCTTTAAACCTGATGTCTACTGCAGAATTTATGGTCCACCCGTAACCTGGATGAAGCAACAAAATTCTTCACACCCCCACAGAGGAATTTTTTCCACATACATTCACATTATAAATTCAGTCCTGTATTTTCTTCTTCTAGGGCAATGCGTAACAGAAATCAGAGGTGCCAGTTCTACCCTACTGAGATCAAGAACAAACTTTAAAACAAGTTGGTTGAGTTTTGTTTTTGGTTGGTGTGTGTTTGGTTTTTTTTTTTTTTTTTTTTTTTTTTTTTAATTTAACTATTAGATCATCATCTTGCTTTGGCAGACAGATACTTTGGATGACAAAGACAAGAATCTCTATCAAATAATATACAAACAGACATTAAAATAGAGACAGGCAAGTCTTCCCTTCCAGAGGAATGGCATACTATGGAGGAACAGATAGAGGAAGCAGAGATTACAGCAAATACATTAAAAATCTAAGGGCTAACACTATGTTTCAGCTCTTTTTTTTTTAGTGGTTATTCAGTGCTTCAAGTTTTGGCACTAAGTTCTTTTAAACCAGGCCTTACTACTGTTGTTGCTATGTTTTTTTTTTTTATTATAATCTATAATACTAAATTCTAGATAATATAATGCAATTTATGTCACAATCTACATGTTAACTCAAAAGCTTTCTGAAGTCTTATTCTGTTCCTAGAAAACATATGTGTTTTTAAACATACCTGCCCCTTTTGCATGCACAACTCTTTCAGGAATCCTCTCCCTGTCAAAATGAGCCATCTCATCAGTGAAAACAACATCTTGCACAAGAAGAGGTCCACGTGGCCCTACTGTCAGAATATTAAGCTTATCTCCTACTGGGTTCCCAGCACCAGTGGTCAAGACGTCTGGTTTCTGAAAGCAAGAGACAGTCAATATCACAAAACCAAAAATTAAAACCCCTCTATATTTATGTCACACAATGTGCATGTGTTCAACCATTTTGTGTCACAGGACATATTAACAGATATATAGCAAAGTGACATAAGATTCCTGAACTGGTTACAGAAAATATAGATGTCTAACTATATCACCACCATACTATGTCTGGGACTATTTAAGAAGGGGAGTTCAAATCATGTATTATCCAATAAATTTTTCCATGGTTCAGAAATACTACTTGTTAAGTTTATCTATCTTGCTTCACAAAAAATACGAAGTGTCAACCTTAAAACATGGATTAAGGCTCAGTTTGCCCCCATCTCAACAGGAGAGAAGGGAAGAGAAAGCTAGAAAAGGAGTAGCTGCTGAAAAGTAATAAGAGAGATAGGAGAGAAAGGAGGTAATGTCACTACGTGGATGGAGGCATAAGGAAAGAACTACAGTCACGCAGCATGAGGACTAAAAAGGGGTACCCATGGCTACTGTTGGTCTGGAAGAGCGCTGGAAAAATGCCATAAGCAAGAACACTTGAGGAATCATCATTCTAGACTCTTGAACCATAGGAGGACTAAGACTAACAAAAGCCCTGAGAAGCTCTACTGCCAACAGAAAACCTGTCAAAAGAACAGCAAACCACAATTTTATTTTTTTTTTTTACTAACATCATTATTGTCTTTAAAGAAACTGCCCAAGAGAGCCCATAGTCATTCTTTTCCCCTCTCTTCCATACCAAGTTTAAGTCAACTATTCTTGTAGGCTACTTAGAGCTGCAGCATCTTGTACGGTAGGAGTGACCCTGTACCTCAAAAAGCAGCCACTCTAAGACAACTTCAAAAATGCCTACTGGAACTCTGCAGCAGTATAGTTGAGCATACTCCCACTTTCTTAAAAAATCCCAGTAGAAAAGACTTCATCTGCATTACATATGGGGTCATAATGCTCCTCTAAGGTGACAATCCTATTTTACTGGGTACTGTAGAAAACACAGCAAGAAAGGTACATCAGCTCCAGAGACCTGATGATTACGGGTGTCAGTTTTTCCTGGAGTACACTAAATGTTAGGAGCCAGGACTATGCTTGTAAAGGACTTAGAAGAACAGAATAGAAGTTAATACAAAGAAAAAAAAAAAAAAAAAAACCACCAAAAAAACAGTTTGCAGCAGGGTGAGTTCAAATATCTGAATCACAGATTATGACCACCACCTTCTGCCAGTAGCATCCACGCACCTGAACCGCGGGAGAAGCACCGGAATAAACTCACTCATCCCCTCCTGACTACTTCTCCTTTTAAAGTTCTATAAATGAAAAGGGACAGTGAAGAGAAGGAAAAAGTAACTCTTGATGAGAAAGCCTTCACTACTATATCAACAACTTGATGGGGTTCCAATTTTTATACTGACAATCTAAGATCTGCTTTAAGCATTTAATTACTGTATACAGACAAAATTCCCATCTGTATTTCATGGAAGAGTATACTGAACTGGACTAGCCTCCACGTTCTTTTTCCCCCAAGAGGCAACCCACAAAGGCAAGGGAAAGAACAATTATTCATATCTACAACCCAAGACTGGATGAGGCAGAGTATACAGGGTGTTATATACACCTTTGTTTAACTCGGGTACACGAACAACCACATGAAAGGCATTTGACAGGATAACTGCATTCCCAATATGTTCTTACTAATATGCAACCCACACTACTCTACCTGGCTTGAATTCCCCAAATTTCTAGGTTCTTTATTCTTAAGTTCACCACTTCATTAGCATAAAGCCATAAACATAAATTCAACTCCTGAAATATGCTTAACATCCTAACTTACACTGAAATTTGTACAAACATTTTAAAAAGCCAATATATATCTGGTTACAAACAGGAAATGGATGTTCAGAAACTTACAGGGATGTTACCACTTTAGCTTTATTTAAAGTTTACTTAAGTCAAAGGAATATCTGCTTAAATCAAAACATTATCTATAGTTTGTCAAGGGAAATATGCAAGAATAGAAACTGTTCTCAGTATTCATTCCACTGCTTATGTATCATATGCTTCCTACCTTATATTTTGCTCAGTTTTAAATGAGCCAAAGTTTTCACTGTTCACTTTGAGAAATCACCTAGTCAGACTGCACGGGAAGTTCTAAGAGTTCAACTTCTTAAAGTTCTACCCTAACATATAATATAGCACCCTCGAACAGGTATTCTTTATTATGTTCTAGCTATTACCTTAAACTAGAAAATACTTAAATTGCCACTACAAATGAACTTTTTGAATTAGAATTTAATTTCATATATTACAGCAACTAGCGTGACACCACCATACTAAAGGAACTTCGGGGAAAAAGCTCATTCATCCATCTCATAATTCAGACTAGTAAATGTAAAATATTCACGAAACACAAATTAATGTAATTATACTGTCAGCTCAATATCCTGATCTATTTTCTGTACTGAGGCAAGAAAGCTACAAGGAACCCGTCCTGACACCCACTCTAAGCCTGTGCTTTGAAGAACTCTTTCTTAGAACACAGTACAGTTGCAGATGATAAGACTGCAAAATGCTCACACATCATGACATTTAACTTTTTGGTCAAGGATTTTTTGCCGTTTCCTTAGGGAGAACTGTTGGTTTTTTGTTTGTTTTGTTTTTTGTGTTTGTTTGTTTGGGTTTTTTTGTTTGTTTGTTTTGTTTTTGTTTTTTGTATCTGGCTTCCAGCACTACCAACATTTTTCTTTTATTTTCATTAGTTTTGCTGATTAAAAGCTTCAAGTTTCTCACAGATAAAACCCAGTGTATTATTTTTCCTAACCATAAATTGCTTGATTTTTTTCATATTGATGACTCCGCCATACTCATTTAAGACAGTCAAGCTCATTGTAATGTGATGAGCTAAAATGGATCCTACCAATGGTGTCCTAAGCTTCTGCATTTTCCTCTCCAACCTTCTTGTGTTACCGTTCATTACAGACACTTCCATCCTTCCCACGTGTTCTGCATTCACACAGAGACTTCCACTTCCTCCTCACTCTAAGGCAGTCCATCACTAAAAAACCCTGTGAACAGCTTCAGCACCATTTATGAATACTGACTACTATAATTCTAAGAAAAACAAACTTGGACTGGACTCCAGTGGCTCTTTTTCACAAGGAGCCACAGTTCTTAAGACCCCTCCAGTCCATACAGTGACTTTTTAAAGTCACTAATGTTTATGTCATCTTGAAGCAGTGACTAAGTTTCAATCAGTCTACTGAAAAACACAAAAGTTATGCTGAACTAGAGTCCTGTTTATCTCGGAGTTCTTCATAAATTCTAAGCAGCCCAGTAGGTTTAACCATGCAGTGGTAGGACTATAATGCATACATCAACACCTGTGACTTTCTCCTCTACAAAGTCCTTTCAAGAGCTTGGTAAAAGACAAGGGGAAAAAAAAAAAAAAATGTATCCTTAGTCTTAAGGAGACTTTTTGAGTCCTGATTCACCTTTTTAATACCTTCCATTTGATTACCTCAAGGATAGAAAAAACCCTTGCACTTTATTTGTAAACTATGCATGCAAAGACTAGAAGGTTTGTAGAGGTAAAGCAGCCCTTCACAAACCAACAGGCTATACTATTGTCTAAGAAACCACTTCTGTAATGCTAACATTTAGGACTACTAGAAGTAGTAACTAAAATCACAAATTTTTCAAACTAAACCCATAAAAGAATTTAACAGCTCTTTTGCTGTACAGTCTCTTTTGTGTAGGCAGACTTTGTGAAAGGTTCTTTCCAGCATTCACATTAGAAGTACAAACACTTTTTTTTAATGTTAGGATATATTCACTTTAGTTTCAGGATAGTGTTATGTGGGGCACACAAAACCAGTTCCATCAGTGTAAAGGGAGAGTTAAAAAAAACACAGTAGTTTTAAGTTTTAAGAAGAATTCTTGTACCACTTTTGGACTTGAGTTTGTTTGATGCCTATATTTTCATACAGTTGGGAGCTGCATACAGTCAAAACCTTACAAGATAAGAACTTTCAAATCTACATGTGTATTTCATTACAGCACTAACCCACCATGACAGAAAGGAGGGAAACAAAGCCAGGAGAATTTTAGTCACAGCTGTTGTAAAGACCATACATCAAAGTACATACTTCCAGGCATTACTGATACTTTGCACCTTAAACAAGTCACTTTAAAATTCTAATAAGTCCTCCCTACTTTCTATCTTAAGGTCTCATGACTCCTTATGCAACACAGACTTTGGGTTGCCTCCCAATCTTCAAATTAACCTTGGCCTGTATTCAAATACTGCTTTGTTCCAGAAAAAAACAACATCCATACAAAAAGTAATACTCGTGGTACAAAAATAAAATATTATAAAGCATGCTAGAGTATGTCGGAAGTCACAGTTCATTACTAGAAAGTAGTTTTCATACAGTACCTTTTAGAATCAAGGGGAAAAAAATGAAATCAAGATGACTTAACAACTACAAGCAGTGGGAAGTGAAGTATCCATTTGTGTCTTGTAAGACTGCTACTTAGCATAACCAGCAGAAAAAGTATTTAAGACCAATTTTCTGTCAGAAAATACATAGTAGAAATTATTACAGTGATTTGAAGAAGGGAAATCAAGTCTTGCAGCATTTATACATTCACCCAAATCTCTGAAGCATATTCCATATCTTCAGCAAATTGAAAGTCATGCTGTTGATTACACATTCTTACAATTTCAGTCAGCCCCTTGCCTCAATCCACTTCAACCTGGCAAACAAGTCTCCACAGATTGCTGAATGTACTTTATATTTTACTTTATTCCCTAATTACATTTTTACTGGCTTCTATTAATGTAATAGCAGAATTGGAAATGTGAGTATCTGAGACGAAAAAAAAAAATAATGAAAAAAAAAAAAAAAAAAAACTAGTATCTCTGTCCAAGGAGGACCTGGCTGCTCAGGCGCAGAAAACCCCCATTCCTGCCTAAAAGAAGCTGCGGACAGGGCAGAGCCGAGTGCCAGCAGCGCTGACCGCCCTTGTCCCTCCGGCCAGCTGGCAGCCGCCAGCCCCTTCGCGCCAGGCTTTTCCCGGACGAGCGCTCCCCGTTACGGGCCGAGGACGCCTCGCCCCCCGCCAGACAACCCGGCCGCGGAGCACCGCGGCCCCCAGGCCCTGTCCGGCCCCGCCGCCTTCCCTCAGCTCAGGGCCCCCGGGCTCTGCGCCCTCCCGGGAAGGGGGTAACCCCGCCCGCGGAGCCACCACCCCTCCGCCATCCCCCTCACGGCGGGCCGGACCGTTACCGAACGGCGAACCGGACCGGAGGGAGAGCGGGGCGCCGAGGGGAGCAACTCCTCAGACCCCGCCGGATACCTGCGAGCCCCGCTGGTTCCGCCACTGCTTCAGCTGGTCCGAGGCGTCGTCCCTGCTGTCAGCCATTTTGCAAGCTTAGGCGACCCCCAAGACAGGAAAAGGCGGCGCGGTGGGAACGCGGGCGCGGAGAGAAACAAAAGCCAGGCGGGCTTGGGCTCGCTGCCGGAGCGGTGACCCCGCGAGCAGCCACCGCCGCCCCCGCCCCGCAGCCGCGGCAGGTAGCGGGAGCTCCTGCCCCTCCGGCTTCTACCCCAACGCTGCGCCCGCCCCCCGCTACCTCCCCGACCAATAGCGCCGCGCCCATCGGGCAGAGCGATCTGTGAATGGGTGAGGGAAACGTCAATCAGGGCGGTTGGGGGGGGGGGGGGGTGCCGGAGGCAGCCCGCTGCCGTTGCTTGTGAGGGACGGCGACAGGCGAGTGAGGGGCTGCAGGGAGGTTGTTCCCTTGTTATTTGAGCTTGAATGTGGGTAGTTAGCCGTGCAAGTAGTTTAATTTTTGGTGTTTTCAGTTTTGAGCTGTCGGAACTTTCTAAAGCTGCTGATTGGTGAGAAGTTACTCAGTGGCGTAGGAAATTACAGGATGAGGGCACTGTGAAAACAGCAATTACTTCAGGAGTTTCAGAGATAGGGTTTGTTTCAGCCGGAAAAAGTGTTATAAATTGAAAAGTCCAGGGGGCCAAGTGTATAGCTAAATGTTCGTTCCTGTATGTGTACCTCAAATCAGGCACAGGTGTTTAACATTATAATTCATATCTGCCCAATTGTAAACAGTATTTCTTTGGAGGCCTGAATTTAGGACCTTAAAAAAACCCCACTCCTGAATTAATAAGAAAACTCCCTGGGTTATACTTACAAATAATGAGGTAAATACGGTTCTGTTAGGCAACTGTAGTTTGCTCCTTAAAGCACTGCCTTTGTGTGCTGAGTTTTCTGCACTACAGCCCATAGGTCTGTCCCTTGTACTGTAACATTCATAATACTGGGTTCTTTGTGCCTAAATGATGTGTTACAGATGATAAAAGTGGTTAACAGGCAGTTATTTTCCTATTTCTGAGGCAAAAGCTTTCAGCAACAGGAATAATATACCTTAAACAGTTAGATTACGTGACACTGGGTACTTGAAAGGTAGATGAAGATCTACATCTATGAGTTATTCTGTGGGTTTGCGCTTCATGGCTCATACTTCTGTATGAGGTCTTGGACCCAGACAGGTGGGTAAGACTACCTATGCATGCTAGAGAACTAAAATATATGTATTTTTCCCTAACGGCAACTATTGTGGGTAATAATAGCAGATAGGAGACCTATCTCAACAAACAGAAATTACCTACACGTGGTTGCAGGAGTACTGGTTTATAAAAGCGACTGAGTCAACAAGTTTTGTGTGTGTGGTGGTTTGGTTTCCCGCCCCATCATTCTTGATAAGAATCCCAGTGTGGTTCTTCACGTAATACATATTACATCAATGAAGCAGAGCAGCTCTCTTTACCCATAGCCTATCAGAAGTAAATGAAACAGGGAAAACGCTTATCTGCAAGACTGTAGCTACATTTTTTCTCTTAGCAGATACAAAGAATAATCTAGCTCATTATTTCAATCAGGCAACTGCTTTATCTAGTATGTGTGATGATGTATTAGAGGGATAAGATTCCCAAATTCAGGTCTGTACTACATAGGGAATATTACTCATGGTGTTCCTTTTTCTCAGTGGTAAGAACAGCAAATTCCCTTTTTTTCTGCTTCAGTCTTATTTGGACCATTTCTTTCATGTGTTCAGGTCTCATAATTTTTAATTCCTCAACATGATAACACACATCATAAAGAAGAGCAAGAAAGATCAATCACCTATGCTTCTAATATTTTTATACTAAATATACATCATCAGACTATACCTACTACTGCACCTTCTGTGCAACCACTGATCACTTCCATGTACCAGACTCCCACTGCACTCAGAAGATCCTTGGTAAACCTAAACTGGAGTAAATCCACCAAAACCTAAGCAGTCTTTGTACATAGCAAGAAACTATATTATCAGCCAAAGAAAACAGTATCCAAGCTTCACAACAAGGTCTTAACCCGCAGAAAACTTCATTTTCAAGGTGCTAGCGCCAAGTCTGGAAGCTGTTTGTAGGCCTCTCCATCAGCCCTTTCTGAGAACATTTAATGATCTTTTCAGGTACTCACTCAGCCTTATGTGGTGTTCTTCCATACAGCTTTTATTTTTTAAGATGACCGTTTTATAAAAAAATGGTCTTTTCATGAGAAAGAACTGATTGATGAGTCCTATAGACTAAGAATGCATACACACATTTTTTTAAATCAAGTAATTGGTATTTCAGTTTGCTTAATCAGCAAAATGAGGGAAATGTGGGCATTTTCATGAAGAGTTATTGTTTGCTTTTCCCTTAAAGTTTAACATTTCCTGTCAACAAATGTGTAGATAAACTTTCTTGTCACAAATGTTTCAAAATAGGAGTAACTTGCAAAAACTGCTTCTCTTTCCCCTTCTTATTATAACTGTATTGCTAGAGAAGATATATGTGTGTATGCACACGTGTATGTGTGCCTAAAAAAACAAGAGGAGATTAAAAATTGTTGAAGAAAATATGCAAAAGAAATTTCAAAAGGGAGCAGATGGCAACATCAATTGCATATATTTTTCAAAAATGTTTGCACTTTAGCAACTGTGCTTGATAAGAAAGGTCATATACAAAGCTAAGTGAAGTGTGAAACAAATATGAAATTTTTCTCTCATCTCACCTTAATCTTCTATATTTTCAGTTAAGAAAGCAGTGGTTTAAATTCCACAGGTACCTTGCTGTGGGTATCTATTTCCTTTTTTTCCCCCTACTATTTTGATATTTGATTCCTGCGGCATCTTATTTGCCTGCGTAAGCCTTCAGTTATATATGCATTAAGTAAACAAACTTCAAACAATTCCAAATTAATCATCTTTATTTACCTAGGGAGACTGGTTCTATGTTGCTGAATGTCTTTCTGAGGAATAATCCAAACCACACTTCACCCTTAATTAAGATTTTGAGAGATTAAAAGTCATAATACTTAGCATTTGTATTTTGTTTTCTGTATTTAAAGTGAGTTTAAATACAAACTACAAGGTCAGTCTCACTTGCACACACACAGTCATGCTGCTATATAAAATTTACACATAGTTCAGTCAGTTACACCCAAGAGAATGATCAGGTAGAAGGTTAATAGTGTCTGTTGCTCTGCTAATTAAGTTACATAGGCACCTAAAGCTTTCATGCTACGTATATCGGCCATCTTGGCTGGCTGACTTGCTACCTACCTCTTGCTAATAATTAAATCATATTCCTAAATGTTCCCATGTTCTCTACAACCTCTGTTGAGTAGATGTACTCAGAATACCTCTACTACATAGCCGAAGCATTTAACTTCAGCACATAGCATGGGGGCCACAGTGACTTCTATTCTAAAAAAAAATCAGGAAAGAGAAACACAAGGCAAAAGGTGCTCATTTTTAATAAAACTGATGATTGTTGAGAACACTTATCACAGGATTGGGAAATTTAGGTTTTTTCTTTTTCTACGAAAGATATTCAATTTATATCTTCCAGAGTCCCCAAATTATGTATGTAGAGATAAGGATTGGATACATTTTCTACTTGTGTTGCAAGGAATAATGTCCAGAAGAAAAAAATAGAGACTCTGTTTTAGGCTCACATAATAAAAGTATGATTGATATTACTGAATATATTTTCAGTCATGAAACAAACTCATCCAACTATGAAGTAATATAATGAAAATATTTTAAAGACTCAAAATAATAATTGGATTTGTTATAAATATCCAACCTTGGGATATTTACAGTAGTACCTCAGGAACCTCTACAAATGACTTTTTCACCGATCCAACTGTTGTCATATCTGATGTAAGCATCAGGGAACAGAAAAAACACTGAAAGAGGAACATACACTACTACTTAACTGTTCACTTACACGACAGAGGGTTGAGGGGTAAGTATGGCAAATACAGTCAGGGAAAAAAGGTTGCTAATATATTTTAGAAAAGCTTAGAAATATTAATAGAAATGACATATTCATTTCCATTGTAATACAGTAGTCGGAACATATTGTCTGTTTTGATTACAAAGTGGCAATACACACCCAAAACAATTTCATATGTCATACTTGCAATTAGATAGATGTGACATCCCAGTAAAAGCCAGCCAACACCTGGGTGACAGATGCTGTTAAACATAGTATATGGTGAGAAGAGATTAAATATGAGATAGATAATAATAAACTGGGGACCTCTGTATATATTCAGTAAGTTATGTCTGAAAACATTTTACTAATTAAGCTATCACAATAAGTTTATAATTCAGTAACTTGCATTATATGTAGCCTTTTAAATTTTGTATTGTCAATCATTAGATCTAATGGAAAACACTGAAATATAACATCTTCAGAGGATGTGGACTTTAAAGGGTTAATTGAGCAAATGATACTAGTGGAAAAGGTAAGGAGGCAGGAAGGAAAAGCTGGCTTTTATGAGACATAGCACATGTATATTGGGCTGTCGGTTGATTGAGTGAAATACTGAGATGCATGGCAGAGACAAAATGTGGACTTCTGAGAAAACACATGTAGAAGAAAATCAGGAAAAGACAGATAAGAAGCCTCTTTTTTGTGTTTGAAATTTTCCACCATTCTCTGCTGTAGTTACTAGAGCAAGGCCTTAATTTAAACCACTGGAGTAAAAGACCAACCTCCAAAGTAGAAAAGTGTGTTAGAATGATAATAGTTTATACTTTTCAAACAATATATTTTTCTTTTCCTCTGCTTCTTTCATTCTACATAGATGATAAAGACTTCAGTGGTTCTGGAGCAGCCATGTCTTCAAACTTTAATAATGTCTGTGATTAGTAAATGTCTATGGATGCACCGGTCCTAGAGTAAAATAAATTTTGCAGTATTTTTTGCCAAAAAGAGAATTTTATGCATCTATATTTGTATTCTGCAATGATTTGTTAATTTTCATAAACAGTACTCCTGATCTTCATCATCAAGAAGTTGAATTTCATATTTAGTGCTGGGAAGATAGCTGCAATATACTGCTTGAGATGACTGAAAGAAGAACAATAATAGAGTAAGAAATGCAACACTTTTCAGGTGGTAAGGTATTCAAACATGTATTAATCATTCTGGATATCTACATTTTGTATTTTCATTCCATTTTCATTTGTATTTCATTCCTAGGAACTAGGAATCCTATAAAT